CGCGTGAGTAGAAACCCATCTGGTCGGGTTGCGAGATGATCTCATGGTCGCTGGGAGATGAAATGGAGGAAATCAAATGTGAAGGGAAAGCTCTCCGCTCTCCCTGGGTGGATGCGTGTTAAATGACATGACGTCCGCCGGCAGCTACTGAAACCCCAGGTTCTCCGTTGGGTTTCCTGCCTGAAGGTGTTAGTTCTGGATTTCCTCCACTCTGCTGCACCTTTCTAACAAATGCCTGCGACGGAATCCCTTCCCCGGCTTCAGGTATTACCCCCCCCCCCCCCCCCCCCCCCCCCGGGGGGGGACGGGGGCCCCCCAGGGGGCCCGGAAAATTCCCGGGATTCTCTGGGAAACTTTCCCGCCCACAAATCCCTTTGGGAGAGAAAAAAGAGGGGGGGAGGTGGGGAACACAGCACCGGGGCCAAAAACCCCGCTCGGCCCTCGGGGGGAGCTGAAAAAAGCAAAAACCCCCGAAATGCCCCTGTGTTTTTCGGGATCTGGGGAAAAAAAGAATACCGTTGTGCGTGAATGGGGGGGAATCCCGCGGGAGAGTGTCCCCGCGGCTCCTTGGGGCCCCACAAGGAAGGAAAGGAAGAGGAAGGCCTGTCCCCCCATATTTTCGTCCAATGTGGGGAACAGCGTGGCGGTCCTGTGAATCCTTAAAAAAAACACCCCCTCCTGAAGGTTGTGTCCCGTCGAACGGGCCCCAGCGCGAACCAAAGGGTTGCCAAACAATAACTCTGGGGGATGAGTCTCAATTTGGGGTTTGTCGGACCACGAGAAAGAAAAAGTTCTGAGGTGTCATCGTTGTTCTTTATTTATTAAAGTTGACCACCAGCCCAAAACCCTAAACATGTCAACGTATTGGCCAATAAAAAGAAGTGAGAAATCCTCCGTTTGAGAAGCTGAAGAATGATTTCTTTCTTTCTGAAAGGTTCATCTGCAGTTTATTCAGTTAAATGAGTCATTTCTTGTTGCGAGTTTCTCACCCAAACTTGGCCCAAGGAGGCAGTGTCTTCACAACAGCTGTTCTAATGTGATCAATATGTTAAGTTACAACAGCGCTTCTTTTCGAGCAACTTTCCGGCAATAAATCCCTGTCGGAGAACCGAATCCCCAACGGCCTCCATCTTGAGTTCGAACACGCTGTTGCATTTGAGGCCCCCCCAAAAAAAAAGTTTTACCGCTCAACTTCATCAGTAGCGTCGTCCAGGACTTCGGGTCCCGTGACTGACGATGTGTTGGAAAACGCCTGCGCTGACAATGGCCGCCTTCTGGTCTGAGCCCAGCGTGTTCGCTGCTGATGTTTCATTCCAGCTGGAACAATCCCACTGTTTTTTTTTTTTTTTCTTCAGACCCCAAAGTGGACGCCTAAATTGGACAACAACCCCCCCCCCCCCCTCCACGTCCCTGCACGCCCCCCCCCCCAGCTCCGCAACCAACCAAACCACCCACTCCTCCCATACACGCATCCCCTGGTCTCCTGTCCTTATTTGGGTAGAGACGTTCTGAGCGCTAGGGTGGGTGGGAGGTGGAGGAGGAGGAGGAGGGGTGGGAGGTGGGGGGGGGGGGTTAAGAGGGGGTATGGCAGAGGAGGGAGGGCGTTGGGTTGACACAAGGGAGGCAGGAGGAGAAACAGTGAGCACTCGCAGCCCTTTCTTAATAAGGACATGTCTGGAATTCAGGCCTCCCCCCCAACCTCCCTCCTCTCTCTCCCCCAGTCGGAGAGCCTCTCTTCTCGCAGCACCTCCGAGCGCTCTCCTCCTCCTCCTCCTCTTCCTCCTCCTCGGCGCGTCGCGCCTCGCGGCACAGAGGAGCGTTGCAGTGTTTTCTCTGCTATAATTGGAGATAAACAATGGAGTTGGCCGCCCATCCCTCAGCCCCCCCCCCCCCCCCCCCCCCCCCTCTCCACACCTCCCCTCTGCCGACCCCCTCCTCCCTGCTCCCTCCTTCGCCACCCCTCCCAGTCTTTCTCTTCACCCCTCCCAGTCTTCAGTCTTTTCTCTAGCAAAGCCGTCGGCCTGCAGCACCTGTGCATTTCTTAATGAAATACTTTGAGCTGCCTGGAGAGATTTTTTTACACGAGGCCACACAAAGGGCGTCTGGCACACTCAAGGCCGCAGAAAGTCATGCGTGTTCAAGGGTCGCACTTGTGTGGATGATAATCGGCTAAAAATGTTGTTGTTTTTTTTCTTCTGCATAACAAACAAACATGACCAAACTAAAATGATGGTGCCTCACGTCTTGAAGGGCTGACCATTTGTTGCTTTATCATTATGAAGTTCAAATATTTGTACGTTCCCAGCTTCTCAAACGGGAAGTTTTAATGCATTTAATGCATATCTCGTTGTGCATGATAGGAAATCGTCTTTGGGTTTTGGACTTTTAGTTAAAAGAACTCAAAATCTTCTCCTATTTGAAAGGAAAAGTCCTTTTATAGCTGATCAAATCAAATACATTTTGTGAAAATAATCAGTAAAAAAAACATTTCTTGCTTAAAAAATAACCAATTTATATTTGAATCCAAAGGTTTTCTAATCATGCAGCTCTGATTCAATCCGATCAATTGACTCGACATTGGGGACTTAACGCGTTTCTACCCTGATGGCGATAACGATTAAACTAGCTCTAACTCCGGGCGTCCCGGGGAGCGATCCGGCCGTGTGATCCGTGAGGACGGACGTGTGATCACTTGAGCTGCGGACGAGTGCTCAGTTTCAGCGCTGGGTTTTAACGCCGTGACCCCGTTGCTAAGGGTCCGCCATAACCAATACCCCTCGCCGCTAAAATTAGCAGCTCGACGCGTCAAACTCTCCTTTGAGTTCAGTGACGAGCATTCATTCCATCTTGCGCGTGGCGTGCGGTAGAATATGATCTCCTCGCCGTTTGATCTTTTTTATTCCTGCTTTATGATGATGGACCGATCCACCACCTCTACGTCTTTGTTTGTTGATCGTAACGCACGACTTTTTCTAAATACTGAGAGATGAACCAAGAAGGGAGATGTCAAGGCTGTACTCATCAACATCACATTTCACACAAGCTCTAATATCTGGGTTGATTTTTATCTCACAAGAACCCCACTGTTACATAAAACAGGTCAAATATGGCTCATAAGGAAATAAAACCGAAGGGACAATGTAAGTATAATGTATTTATCCCTTGCACATTTCTTCTTTTCATCAGCGTCTGCAGAAATGCAGAAAGGAGACAGACGAGCATCCTGGGAGGATCGTGGTTACCTCATATACTTCCCTTTCAGAAACAATACGACGCTGAAAAGGCAGCTTGCAAAATACTTAAGACCTTTGCCTGCAGTCAGCCATAAGCAAACCACACTGGGACGCAGTTCCCAGACCACAAGAATTCTTTGAGGCCAGCGCCGATTAGTGGGGTCTTCCAACCTCGTTTTATGGAATATCTTGCATTCATTTGGCCAGTACAGAGAAACAGTCCAGGATTTATTGTAATAAGTAAAGTTAGCCTTGTTTATTCATAAAAATTCCACAATGTCAGAGAAGGCCAAAGCAGCAGACCTACAGATGAATGGCATTCCTCATTCCAGTCGCATTGTGCTCTACATGGACTCACAAAGCTCTTTGAAGCCACTCAAATAATTCACTGAATGTATATTTACGAGGAAAGTGGAATCATCGCACCGTGGTTGCATTGCTCCGCCAACCCGTCGCGCCAGAACCATACGCTGCATGTAAGAAGTTAACGTCGTAATCGGGATGCGACGCATTCGTTCACAATGGTTACTGAAGTAATAATTCAAGTTTCAACGGTAAGATGCGGAGAGAAGGCGAGTTTCAGTCACTTCTGAACTGGCTTAACTTTACAGACCCGGAGGTTTCCCCCTGGTTTTTGCACCAGAAATGTATTTTGTGACCTTAGACCTCGAGTTCCTCCTTGAGTCCAACTTTGATATTTGAAGAAATTGACTCCAGCCGCTCCTGACATCCGGTGCAATGTGTCAGGTGTTAAGTTGAAGTTGAAATTTGCGTTTGAATGTCTGTGCCGTGGAATTCTAAATTTAGAACAAGGAAACATCTTGCAAGCCGTTGAGTGGGCTGTTAGTGTTTGCTGACTGGTTATTCCAGTTCAGTATGAAGATGGTGCAGCCGAAGGAGAGCTTTCGGAAATTTAGGAAAACCAGCGTCTCCAACAGAACCGCCAGTAAGCGTTTTTCAGGATTCACCGTGTGAAAGAGAACGCCTTGTTTCAAACGTTGTGAGACGGAAAGTTTTCATCACATGACTCACGTTTCCAACTGGGGCGTCGAGACAGAACTTGATATACGATAGTGGATCATTTTGCCCGCTATAAAAAGGAATTGACTGACTTTGGTTGTATTGCAACGCTGCACATATTTAGGATTAATTAAAGAATTTCCTTTTATTAAAACAAGTTGAATTTAAAGCTATTGTTGAATACAGCGGCTGAACAATAAAGAGTATATTTGTTACTGAGTATTCTTCACATCACCAGTTTAGTGTGTGTCGGATTGAAGCTCAATGACGTTTGAAATGTTTTTGTTGCCCAGCTTTGTTCAATACTCGATTCTGATTCGTTGGAATTCTACGCCCTGTTATTTCCTCATTACACACCGTTGCTATGGGAACACTTCAGATCTCCGCAGACAAATACAATCTACTTGGTATTGTATCCTTGGTTGGGTGTAATAAGCTGACTAATGGACAGTGAGCGGGGCTCCTGCTTTATTCCGAGGTCCCTTATTCACGTGTTTTACGAGAAAAAAAATCTCTTCAACTGTTGACCTTTGGCCTTATTTCAGGCATTACAAAAAGGGGGAAAGGGAAAAATACTTTTTAGGACTTATTCCTGAGATATTCTGTAGCAAATAATCGTATTGAGTCACAGCACAGATATTGTTTCTCCAATCACCGTTGATTTGATATCGTCATCTGTATAACTGTATTAAAGAATTCAAACCCGATAAAAACAGCTTTGCAACTTCCCGTGTCTTTACTCCCCAGGTCTTTCCCACAGACCCTTTTGATTTTGGGGCTCGGGGTCGGGCCCAGGGGGAGCCGCCACCATTGCGTCCAACGAGTGGAGCGCCAACGGTAGCCCAGAAGATGGGCTGGACGGGGACAACGAGGACAAGGCCATTGACGGGGACGCCGAGGGCGTGTGGAGCCCGGACATCGAGCAGAGCTTCCAGGAGGCCCTCGCCATCTACCCTCCATGTGGCAGGAGGAAGATCATCCTCTCCGACGAGGGGAAGATGTACGGTGAGTACGCTGGCTCGACCCGCCACAGCTTCCAGGTTCCAGATGTTTCTCGCCGGGCCCGGTCACGCCAGCACCAGCGCGTGAGAGAGGCTCCATAGAAAAAACGACCCGTGAACTGTAATACAATAGTACAAGACACGGCAGAACGTTTAAATGGTAACCCGTCACATGATTGACAGAAAATGAGAACGCCGCACATTGGCCCTCATGGTCTGTGGCTGAGGGAAAAGAATGAGCGCTGGGAAAGCTTTCCTTCCACTCGGAGCGCTCTTCGACAAGTCCGTACCTGTTGAGTTGTGACCCGGGGGCCGGTTCTTCCAGTCCCTCTCAGAGCGGCTTCTTATCGCGGTCCCGAGAGCATCTCCGCCTGATTTACGCACGTCTCCTTCTCTCCGCTGTTTGTCTTTACGGCCCGCTTTGTCTCCCCCCCCCCCTCTGTTTTACGGCCTCCTTTCTTTGGTTGCCAAAACTGGATCTTTGTGCTTTTATCGCCGAGCGTTACGTCTCCTCACAAACCGGCATCGCTGGGAGAGGTGGGGTGTTCGTGGTTCTGCGTTTGATGCCGGACGGCTCGGTTGCGTTGGCATTAATTAGCACAGCGTGAATCGAGGCTCGGGGAAGGAAAACATCCCGTTGGCATGTTGAAGATCTTCAACATCCATATGGCTCCGGAGTTGTTTCGCTGTTTCCTGCAGTGTCCAGTAAAATGCAGGTGTCGGGCCTTTGAAAAAATCCAGATGGATGGTGTTTGGCAAGGTGTCCGGTCGTTTGGATCCCACTTTCCCCTCTCCTGTTGTCCCGCTAGCTTGATTTAGCACTTTAGGAATTCTGCTGAAGATGCCGATTTACTGGAGATGTGCCGGATTTCTTTTTGGTTTTGTGGTTTTATTCCCACAATTGTGATTTGACCTCCCCTCATGCCGTGTTTGGTAAGACTTTCCTCCCCTTTGATTGACTGTCCACCATGTCTCAAAAACTTCAGAGCGGCCATAAAAATCCCCAATCACTGCCAGCAAAGTCTCAGCCAGTCGGCACATTTCACAAACATCGGTGTTTGCTTTTTAAATCACTTTTCTTTTTCCGTGTGCGTGTTTGTGTCGTTTCTTTCTCCTCTTGAAGTCAGAGGAAATTCTTTCGCTGTGATTCATCCAAAATTGAATATCATCTACTCATTTGATATTCAAGGACGAGCACATACCTGACATAACTCGCCTTCTGTTACTCTGATCCTGTCCTGGTTGTGACTGAACAATAAGTCAACAGAAAATGAATTGACATCTTTTTGTCATTCTGATTAATTTATGATAAGGTGAGTTATCAAACATGCCTGACGTCTGTTGATTCCATCTCGTCAAATATGATGCGTTGCTTTTTGTTAAACCAAATACGGCGAAGCTTTGGGCTCAAGGATAGATTTTTCATGTTCTATAACATTTTTTAGATAGAAACACATCCATCTATGATGATTCACTCACCATTATGTACAGAAAGGATTTCTGATGTGGTTCCTCAGTAAACTGTATAATTTAATCAAATATTATTAAATTATTATATAGTTTAAGTATTCTTAAACTTATTTTATGATTTCCAGAACAACAAGTTCACAACGTGCTTTTAATTGGTGTGCGGACTCAAGGCACCACAAATATTAACCCGTGGAGCTCTTTAGGTCTGTTTAGCAGCGCCGTGTTGCGTGCGCCCCCCCCCCCCCCCGGCTGCATGCGTTTGTCCCGAGAATGTCAACAAAGAGGCCGGCCGGGCACCAACCTGCCCCCCCCCCCCCCCCCACCCCACCCTTTAGCGACCAACTGTCAGGACCCCTTTCTGTGGCCGTTCTTTTTTTTTTTTTCAACAGCACTAAACACCCTCTCCCCTTACAATAAGTCATCTGAGGCTCCGCTGGCAGCGGCCGAGGCAGAAGAAGCCGCCTCACAAGGTGGTTACCTCAGCCTTCTGAAAGCTGCCCTGACGCGAGCTCGGGGGAATGTTAACGATTGCTCCGTGTAATACTGTCTACCTTGCAGTCTCAGACTCCCAGTGGCCTCGGAAGGAAGCCAAGTCATCCCTCCCGTTGGGAATTCCGATGCTTTTTTTTTTTTTCTTCTTTCTGCCGGATTAAAAAAAACAAAAAAAATCCGTTCCCATCTGCTGGGAAACCTTTTGCAAATTTCCATGGCTATGGCGAGATGACTCTCCGGGCGTGTGTCCTTTGCTCTTCAAACCTGTCTAGACTTCCCAGAAGCCTTTCCAGTCCTGTAAATGGCTCGTGGGTTGACAAAGAGTTCAAAGAATCACTTTGTTTGAATAAGTCACACGTGGTAATAATCACTCCAGCACATGAAGAACACTCGTATAGATGCATCAAGCATTAACAAGTTACATATTCTGCACACCGTGTGATCACAAGGCGGCCCCGGCGAGCTGTTCCCCCCCCCCCCTCGTCTTCAGTGCCTGTCTGCTGCTCTAGCCGGATTCAAGCAGACAGATTAGAGAGAGGTGGCATTTTTTGTCATGGAAAGCAAAAGAATAGTCAGACCGTTGATTCCTTGCAAGTGTTTTCAGAAGATCTGTGCGTCAAAAAGAAATGTGGTCCTTCTTGTTTTTTCTTTGGAGCTGTGCTGACATGTCGCTCCCCGGCCTTTTCTGGCCTTGACAGGTATATTGAACCCCCCCCCGGCCCTCCACCTCCACCCCCCCTCACACATATCTCCCAGTCCTGCAGCAGTCTGTAACTGCAAAGCACTCTGGGTACAAAAAAAAGAAAAGAGAAACATTTTAGCGCTGGAGGGACACTTTTTTTTTGTCCTTTTCGAAGGCGGCCGTAGGAATCGGCAGCAGTTTCCAGAGGATGTGAAAAAGCCTCGATGTGCTCTGAGAGTCTGAGAGGGCCGGGGAATGATGACTGAGCAGGCCTTCGCTGTCAGCCCCCTCGCTGAGATGTTAGGAATGTTTTCAGTCATGGCCGTGCAGTATGTTAGCAATTTGGGATTACCTCAATGTTATGAGAAGGGAGGAGGGGAGAGAATATGGGTTCGGGAGAGAGAGGAAGAGGGAGAAGGGGGGAAGGAGGCAGTGAAGATCACCTTTTTGCTCCCTATCTTAGCGTGGAAGCGGAAAATTCCAGCGGTCATGTAGTAAAAAAAGAGGGGGTAAGGGGGGGGGGGGGGGGGGGGGGGGTAGGCGTGTCCCGTCGGGGGAAGAGGTTAAGAATGGAAGCCTGCGGCACTTCGAGTGGCTGTTGAGCAATCGGCGGATGGGGGCTGGCGAGCAGCTCGGAGAGAGAGGCCGAAGGGATGGAGGCACAGCCGTGGCGGGGCGGGCCCGAGGCGGGTCCGAGGCCGGGCCGCGACCAGCGGTTTGCGAAACGCCGTCTGTTTGCGTGCACCTGTCAATGCCCCCCACACCCTCCCCCTCAGACCCCCATCCCCCTTGGGGACCGGCCTTTTACACCGTCTGCCATGACCTTCCCACGCGTCAAGTATGAGCAGATCTCGGGCTTCCACGGCTGCAGCTGCCGCGAACGAGCACAGAGATCCAGCCTCTATATTCCCTCTAAAAACTGATGCAACCGTTCCAGGAAGAAACAGGACGTAAAATGTTCACACGCATGCACCTCGCGCCCGCTGCCGCATCGAAGTTATGACTCTTCTTTTTGAATTTTTTTTATACATGTTCTAGGTCACGATGGGATTTTACGTCCAGCAATAGATTTTAGTTTTCGCAGGCATCCACGTTTCTGGTGAGAGAAATAGTTGAGTGGACGGTTTCCATTTTCCAGTTTTAACGTTTGAACTTTAATAAAAAGTTCATTTAAAAGCTGCAAATCAAACCCCGGGCTCACTTTGTCCGAGCCGCTTCAAAGAGGCGTTTCTGCAGGAAACCGTATGTCACATAAAACAAAACCTTCATTTTGACATATTATGAAAGCGGCCAGATGTTTCGGACCGGAGATATGATCTCAGCTCACGGCCACAGTGCTCCGTTTAACGTTATGAAGCAAGTCGCAGAGAAATGTTAGTGGTCTGCTCTAAAAATAAATAAGAAATTCCCCAACATCGCGGAGGAGAGCTGTTAGTTTGCGCCCTCTGAACCCAAAAGTCGGCTGTGAATTTACAGTCTGACCAACAACCCCTGACCCCCCCCCCGGGCCCCGGGGCCTCCCGGAGGAGTCCATCTCTTTTCTCTTTCTCAAACCCGACGCCACGGAAACACCGCAATGAGATATCTGTGAAGTCCTGAGCAAAACTCTATGCCCCCCCTGACCCCCCCCACACACACACACACCTCCTCCGCCAAAGATTGAGAGTGACAGTTGCGCGAGCGGGGGGGGGGGGGGCGTGCCGCCATTGTTCCTCCTCTGCCATCCTCTGCTGGGACGGCCGGCGGCAGGTGCTGCCATCGGCTGAGTGCGGCGGGGGGGGGGGGGGATCACGCGGTTTGTGTTGTTTTGGGAGGAGGGGGCTGCTCTGCTGCCAGGTGGCAGTTGTTGGCAGAGACAGTTCTGGCTTTGTGCTTCCTCCAAGAGTTACAGCATCAGCTGCCCCTTTTGCCCCTCTAACCGATGACCTCCCCTCCCCCCGCGCTCGCCCCCCAACCCTAATGGCCCTCGCCCCAGCTCTAACCTCTGTGCTCGTGTGTGTGTGTGTGTGTGTGTGCGTTCGTCCAAAGCTCCGGCTGTGTTCGCAGGCCCAGGCCAATCAGACTGCCTAGCACAGATGTGACAGGCTTGGAGGAATGCTAGGAATGCGGAGGCGCTGGAGCGGGCGTGTCCATCCTTGGCCCGGGGCTGAGGGGGGGTGGGGAGTGTGTGTGTGTGTGGGGGGGGGGGTTCTGGCTGGCTAACTCGGTATCGGCAGACAGTTCAGCTCCGCTCGGCGTGTACGGCGAGGGGGTCCGCGGTGCTTTTATGGTAATCGCACTAACCGGGGGCCTTCTGGAGGCCAAGCGCTAAAGAGGCGTCGCTATGGCGTCTGGGTTCTCTAAAGACGGTTAAGCTTCCTAGACTCACCGTCTGTCGCGTGTGTTCAAGAAGGCCAACCTAGGCCGTGTGGATATCTGTCAGCGGGTTTAGTCCATTATTCGTAATGATACCGCGGTTCAAACTCTCCCCCTCAGCCAGAAAAACCCAAGTAAACGTGACCTGGCGAAGACAAGGAATGAAAAGTACTGATTTCCCTTTGGAGACAATTAATCGTTTTTTTTTGTGTTTTTTTTCCACTTCTTCTAACCCGATGGTGACTTTAGTTTGATCCCAGATTAACAGGCTAAGCGTCGTGCGGAGAGGGCCGTTCCAAAGCCTCCAGTAGGAGAAGCCTGTTCCCTGCACAACCTGTTTGTGCAGAATGTCGAGAGTAGATGTCACGTCACGAAAACGCGCTTCTGTTTTCCGAGCGACTCTCTATAATTAGGCCTCAACGCCACGTGAGGGGACGATTTAGTAGGTGGGAAACGTGCTAATACGGCAAAAGAATATACCTTTTTAAATCTCATTCTTATTTTAAAAGAAGAAGGGGCTTTTAAAACATGGCCCCCGGTAGGAAACGGAGGTGTTGTAGTGACCTGCGACCTGTGACAACAGTGTGTTCGCCTCGGGTCGGAGGAGCTCTGGGAAAGGTCACGCTGCTGAAAGACGTGAACACAAGCGCGTGACAACGGGGCCACCTGGTGGCCACTCCGGGGTGTTACCACAGATGGATGTGGATGGACTTTTCTTTTCGTGACCTTTTCTTTCTTTTTACAGGTCGCAATGAATTGATAGCAAGGTACATCAAGCTGAGGACGGGCAAAACCCGCACAAGAAAACAGGTGAACGACATTTGATGATTGGATCAGAATAATCATGCATGAGTTCGGTTTCAATTACTGACAATGCAAGACACAACAGATTTTTAACTCCTGGCCTTATTTTGCATATATATATGTATATATATTTCTGATAAAAAATCAAGACCAAAACAATAAAGTCCTTGAAAAGTAGGCCATAAATATGTAGTTTAGCTTTTATGGGATTTATTGCTAACAATAATAATAACGAATATGGCCAGGCTTATTTCATTTTGTTGTTTGCATGACCTATTAAAAGCTCTCACAGTGTGTGTTGTCTCTGTAGGTGTGTGTGTGTGTGTGTGTGTGTGTGTGCACGCGCATGGATGTGTGCATCTGTGAGTGCATGTTGTTTTTACGCTCAAAAAAACTGTTTCACACCCCTTTAGGTGTCTAGTCACATACAGGTGTTAGCACGGAAGAAGGTTCGTGAATACCAGGCGGGTATTAAGGTATGTGCGACCAGCCGGCCTCCCGGCCTCACTGACTGGGCGTCTCTTTCCTCTTTGGTTACGGCTACTCTCTCTCTCTCTCTCTCTCTCTCTCTCCTTTCCTCTCCCTGCCACCTTTTCCTCTTCCCTCCTCTTGGCTATTCTTCTGTGCAGGTTTCTAGCCACTTGCAGGTTCTCGCCCGGAGAAAATCTCGCGAGATCCAGTCAAAGCTAAAGGTATGCGCTTCACCGCGGGGGGCTGGTACGGCCTTGGCTTTTTGCACTAACCACCTTTAAAAAAAAAAAAAATTATTTGTGCATGTTGTGGTCAGCGCTCGCTTTCGACGCCGGGATAAGTGGATGCAGGTGTGGCGAGGGAGCGAAGGGTTTAAATCAGATCGAACAAACGCAGCTCAGGAGTTAATTCTCTGACGTACTCACAGTCCTGCTTCTGCACCGTGCATGCGGCGCGAAAACAGACAGATGTTCTTCAGCCACCGCTGAAGGCCAGAGAGTTGCACAAACTGTAGAACCAGTGAAAGTGTAGCAGCTGCTTTAAAGGTGTTTTCTACCGTGAGCCCAGGGATTGTTTGGCCGCATGTTGCTCCGGCTCGCTGTCTCTCCTCTGCAGCAGACTCTACTTCTCTTAAGACTTCTTCCTTCCCCTAAAACTCTTTCTACTTTGATACTTGTAGTTCCTCCGATGTGTCTGGTTGGGATGTGTTTCTATAAAACCGAACATTCTGGGAAAAGAAAAGAACAACACATTAATCGGCATCAGATGACAACTTTTTACTTTGTCTTGTAGTTCTTTCGATCCCTCTGGTCTCTCTTCGTGCTTTTAAAAAAAAAGAATTGTTTTTTTAACCGTTTAACTTAAATTAACACAATGCAGACTTGTGTAAATACCCAAAAGAATGTTGTATTCTTTAGTGCTCACTTCAACTGAAATTAACCCATTTTATGCCGACTAATAATGCAGTGGACACGAGCGTCCACAACATGTTTCTGTATCGGGAAGACTCGACTTCCTACAGGGACACGAATGCCAAACCTATTTCTAATGCAAAGTGCTGATTCATAACACGTAGGGGAGGGGGAATCACCAAGGGCCCCACCGTACAATATAATCAGGACCCTTAAGACACCATACGACCTTACTGCGATCTTATACATTTTGTGATATTCTGAGTATTCCAATGACAAAAATTGCAAATGATGCCGTTTTTACAAGATGTGAGCAACAAAGTGGGTTTGTCAACCGGCAGACAGGGTCGTGCACATCATGCATCCAGCATCGACTGAGCGGTTTTATTTATAGTCTGCACGTTCTGTGTGGTGACTTTAACCCTCTCTGGAGAGGGTGAAATAATTCTTCTCACTTACATGCACACACGACAATCTGCATTTTGCCTCCTTCACAACATGACACATTTTACTGGACACGCAAAATGGATATGAATCATTTTAATCAGCTCACACTCGTGTGTACTTGTTAAACACGTTACACAAATACATATTTCAGTTTCATCTGCCCGGCGTGTGTCATTTATTTCAGCCGTTTGTGTTCGTGACTGCACCTCGGATGATGCTATTGGCAGAACCTCAGTCATTTCCCCCCCCCCCGTTGTTGTTTAAGTGTCAGATATGAACTGACAAAGTGTACCTGCGGTACCAGCGCCTTGTTCAAGTATCTATCAAAGTATTCGTCAAGCCAAAGTAATTTATTTTCCACTCTTAACTCACTAGTTTCCAAGCCACTCTGTAAGTCCAGTTGCTTGACAACGAGCGACTTGCGAGATTGCAGCATCAGCTGAACAAACAGGAAGTGCACGGGTGTCGGCTCAGATGGATGCTCTCTGCAGCCCAAGCTGTGCATTCCATGTAACACACTGAAGGCTTGTGCTGCAAGGAGCCCCCGAGGATTTCACTGTGTTTCCTCTGCTGGTCCTCTGTCCAGTTATGTGAAGCGAATGTGCTTCCCGGCTAAAGCGTTCCGACGTTTACTGAAAGAATAAAACGTACAACCTTTCGCTTTATAATGATTGTACGTTATGTGATGATGGCTGTATGGATTAATGTGTATTGTTTCAACATTTTACTGTAGTCCAATCAAATAATACAGTAAGATTTGTATTAACATTAGTAAATGTACTGCAACGGTTTTGGCAAATTTAGCCAAAATACAATAATGAATGTATTTAAGATTACTGCGTATTGAAGCATTCTGCAAAAAAGCTTCAGTGCCTCCTGGACCTCGTAACTTCTAAACAATGGAAAACACGAAAGAGGCGATTTTACGTCGACCGAAGCGCAATGAAATCATCTGAACGCACCGTTTAGTGCTGCACCGTAACTAATGGTTTCTCTCTTTTTTGATTCAGGCGATGAATTTGGTAAGTGGACCTGACTTGTGCAATATGCTTCCCTCCTCCGCTTTGTTTGGCAGCACCAGTGCACTGTCCCCTTGCTGTGGCCCCCCGCTGGCATGGCGTCCCCGTCCCCGCCCCGTACCGAAGCAATGCTTAGGAAACCGCCGCGCTTTGAACCCCATGCTGACGCGCACCCCGGCCTCCGTAGTGTAATGCCCTCAGTCTCCACGCGAGAAGTCTTTCTTGCTTTTCAAAGTCACAGCTAAAATTGGTCTTATTCCATTTTTTCTTTGGCAAAAAAAAAAAAAAAAAAAGAGCACGGCGATGCATTTTACAATAGGTCGGTGTTTTTGAAATATTTCGTGAATCGCGAAGTATGTATCATGCTCTACGGATGGGAATTCGTCGGCTTTGTATTTTCTTCGCTTTGTATCTCACCAACATTTTGCCGCTTCAATCGTACTTTTATTGGTGTAATCCCTTCGATGCAACTCATGCAACTCTGTTCTCCTTTCCTGTGGTGATCCTGGAAGCATAATGAAACTCAATTAGTCTTGTGACCGGAGCTAAAATACCAGTGCAGCTTCATCTTCTCCGTCTTTCCCTTTGCTTCATTCTGTCAAGCTGCTCTTTCAAACCAAAAAAGTGCCAAGTTGACTCTCCGTTTGGATTCTAGATGTTTGAGCTCTGAATCAAACAGAAACCTATGAGGTCATTGGCAGTCTGTGACTCTCGTTGTCCCTCTTTTCCCTTCTGTAGGATCAGGCGTCTAAGGACAAAGCCCTGCAGAACATGGCAGCTCTGTCGTCCGCACAGATCGTCTCCCCGAGTATGATAAAGAATCACCTCCCACCACTGCCTCCTGCCCACTACCAACCACCCAGAGTTAGCCCACCACTCATCTTTCTCACACATACAACACATTTCGTTATATTTGTGTAGTCATAAAAAATGGCGTTGGATTTTACCTCAGCAAACAAACCAAAACAATGGAATCCTACGAAAACAATTCATGTTTTTTTTCTCTCTCCTCTGCAGTTCTGGCCTTCTCTCCCAGGACAGCCTGGACCCTCTCAGGAGTAAGTAAACCCTTTCTACTGACCCCACGGGGTGTTTCTGAGGGTATTTGGATATCTGGAATAAAAGATTGGTGGTGGAGACGAGTGGCTCGTAAACTAGCGAGCGACTGTGCCGGCGCCGGGTCGAGGTTTGATACCAGGTGGGCTTTGCAGGGCGTGTTTAACGGATCACGTTTTTGCACACTAGGCTGGTTCTAGATCTCAACCCGGGAAGGACTCCTGGGCTTGGCCGCACCAGCCATGCGTAAGTGCCCCCTAGCCAATGCCCAGCAGAACTAACTCCTTTTCCACACTGTATTGTACTGTATGTTTCCTGCACTGATAGAAACCACCACCGGGCAAATGAACATGCTTCCAATTTCAATTGAGAATAAAAAATGCAACAAAAAAATCTAAATCTTTTTTTGTTTTTGATGCTTTACGTTCACTGAAAAAGCTTGAAATCTTGAAATATTTTGGGGGATTTTCAGTGTGTACATCAGTAAAAGCACAATTCATTAATGCGACGTATCATCTTTAAGACGCATTGAAGCAAGCGGACTTACGACTGGCTGGTTCTGAAGCTTATGCTCACGCTTTGAAACCGACTGAGTGTCTGATCAGAAATACAAATATAGAAGGACCCATGTGGCGCTCACTGTCTCACCGAAGCGTTCCTCGTCTTTCAGCATCAAACCTTTTGCACAGCCGCCGTACCCGAGTCTATCGGGTCCTCTACCGCAATCCATACCAAGTAAGTATCAAGGAAAACACCTGTGAGAATCTTTAGAAAATGAAAGCAGAAATGTTTTTTTTTTTATTGTGTGTGTGTGTGTGTGTATGTGTATGTGTGCGCCATCCAGGCTATGAGCCCTTGGCCCCTCCTCCTCCTCCATCTGCTACTGCTGTGCCGGTGTGGCAGGACCGGACCATCGCCTCCTCGAAGCTGCGGATGCTGGAGTACTCGGCCTTCATGGAGGTCCAGAGAGACCCGGACAACGTGAGTGAACAGGTCCAGGGCCCACAGGGGTCAGTGTAGTCGCAGAGCTCATTTAAAAGCAATGATATTTGGCACACATTGTATATGATATTTGACCCACTGTAGGCCCATATTTATTCATCCTACACATTAACAAGTAGGTTTGTTGCCTTAACCTAACACAGTTGTTGCTGAACGTTTTTCCCCTTTAACTTCTTGACTTGCCGTATGTTTCAAAGTCCATCCGCAGCGTCTTTTACCCCGGATGTAGTAGCTTTCTGATACCTTTAGGTACAACAAAAATGTAAAACAGTATTACGTTGAGTTCGGTAGACAATGCGACGCTCTCTCTTTCCTCGTGTCGTATGTAGTTCTGCGGCAGATGTTCTTTGAGGATGACCTCGTCCTCCTGTGTCTCTTTTGTCTCTGTCCTCTGCAGTATAGCAAACACCTGTTTGTCCACATTGGACAGACCAACCCCTCGTACAGCGACCCGCTTCTCGAGGCCGTGGACATCCGGCAGATCTACGACAAGTTCCCTGAGAAAAAAGGGGGGCTTAAAGAGCTTTATGAGAAGGGCCCTCAGAATGCCTTCTTCCTTGTTAAATTCTGGGTGGGTTTGTGTTGATATATTACACACATCCACCTGCCAATTATGTTGTCTTGATGTGTTCTTTATATATATGTATATACATAGACTTAATTGTATTTAACTGGCAAAATCCAATTGCATTACTGTAGTTTTTTTCTCAAGATTAACACAAAACTGCGTTCTTACAACCAGCCAAGTGTTACACGGGGGATCTAAGTTGCATCCCGCTATGTGATCATCACATCCCATCTGATTAAATGTTTTGGCCCTGCAGGCCGACCTGAACAGCAGCGGCATGCAGGACGGCCCCGGTTCTTTCTACGGCGTCAGCAGCCAATACAGCAGCCTTGAGAACATGACGATCACGGTTTCAACCAAAGTCTGCTCGTTTGGCAAGCAGGTTGTAGAGAAAGTTGAGGTAAGAGCACGATTCTGCAGTTTACACTTAAAACAGCGGATTTGCAGCCTCTCGTGTTGTTTTTGACTGTGTGTGTGTGTGTGTTACAGACAGAATACGCCCGCATGGAGGGAGGAAGGTGTGTTTACAGGATCCACCGCTCTCCTATGTGCGAGTACATGATCAACTTCATCCACAAACTCAAACACTTGCCGGAAAAATACATGATGAACAGTGTTCTTGAAAACTTCACCATCCTACAGGTAACACACACTTTTTTTAGTTTGACGTTTCTGGAAATATATGTACCGTGCGCGTTCTCGACGAGAGTTTGATAACTCTCAAACCTTTTAAATCAATAATAAGCCGCATAGTGTAGCTTAGCACAAACTGTCGTTTATACTGCTTTTTAGAACCTACAATTATTTTTTTAAATGTGTTGATTAGAGGGCTTTTGTTGTGGTAGTATCAGGATTATGATGATTTAAATGAAAGTTTCCAATCTAAGCTAATCGGCTGCTGGCATTAGCTTCACGTTTAGAGCATGGCCCGTAACAGCATTTCCTAAAATATCAAAATATTCTACTCGCAAATTAAGAAATGAGGAATCAGTTTTTCATTTCAACAGACTGCGCTGCTTCGTGTTTCTCACTGCACATTTTCCCTCCCCAGGTGGTGACGAACCGAGACACCCAGGAGACCTTGCTCTGTATAGCGTTTGTTTTCGAGGTTTCCACGAGTGAACACGGAGCTCAGTATCACGTCTACAGACTTGTGAAAGACTAACAGCTCCTCTGCGAGGTTTTTGAAAAAGCCAGAATAAAGCGTGACACACAATCTCTCTTCAACCAGCTCAACCCCCCCCCCCCCCCCCCCCCATCGCCAAAAAAGACATGCAAACAATGCTTGACCGGACTGACATGGACACATTTTATTCTTTTAAAAGTATTGTTTGCAAGGGAAAAAAAAAAAGAGTGAATGTCAACGTGCCGACACGCAAATACATTTTTGAAGAAGTACGTATTTTTCGAACAACCAGCTATTTTTCATGTGTTTAAACATGCTTTCCATGAAGTGGTTCCCTTTTTGTCAAGGTAGTTGATGGAGCCGGAAATGTTTTACTGAGGGAATGAGAATGTGTTGGAAAGACTCTTAAAGTAGTAAAGAGAGAACCAGAGCCGAGTGGTGTTGTTGCAGTAGGTTCGTCAGGGAAGCAAGTGCCTTGTCTCCAAAGATTACATCATTGCCCCACTTTGGATTTCATTTTTTTTTTTTTTTACTACCTCTTGTTTTAAACAAATAGATAAAAAAGTCTGACACGTGTACTTTGTCCAAAGAAAGAAAGAAACCTCTCAGATTGACATCTTTTGAGGCCTTTTTTGTACTTTGGCACACAGAGGAATGAGATGGCATTTGTCATTTTCTTGTTGCCTTTTGTTATTTCATGAAGATCAACCCAATTTTACAGTCCACATAGGGAGCAATTCAGTTGTGTTACCCCATTATTTAGATTTTGCTTATTTTTTGTTTTACATTTTAATGAACAGTTCAGAAATCAGGTCTTACAAGCATCTATCTATAACTGACCTTTGACCCTAGGGATGCCTTGTATTCTGCCTGCCTGACACGCAGGCAGGGCAGTGCCATCCATACGAGATCCACTGATGAGTCTCTCGGTTTCGAAGACGTGTGCTTGGTTGCACTTAAAAGATCAAGGAGGTGGAGGTGAAGCAACAGCAGTGCTCATTTCCTGCCTCGAGTTATGTAGCCTTGTTGGAAAAATTGAATTGTTTCTGTACTGTGAGTCAGTGGATGCTAAAGGAATACGTGTTACATAGGAGTATTTTCTAGGAGGGGCGGAGGGGGACTTTCATATTTGTGTTCAAGTAACTCAGCACAGAGACCATGGTTTGAGTCGGGGGGGGGGGGGAGTTAATCACTGTTTCTTTTGTTTCAAAAAGAGATTGTATGCTGTGAAGTGGGTTTATTTGCTTCACCATTCTCCGTTGTAATGTGTGGAGAAGCTGCATTCGTTGATTAAAGTTCAGTTTTGATATTTAAATCTTTTTTTTTACTGATATTAGACATAAAATAATTTTGGAATCAAACCAAATAATTGTCTTCAATGAGAGCTATTGTCTCTGTGCTGTGGAGTATGACCATTGATTGTTATTTATAGGGTTGGAAGAGATTTAGTGGGAGGGCAGGGTGGGGCACTGGAGATGTATTGATCGTTTCCCACTGTTATGGAGATGTTTTAAGTATTGCAGGACTCATATTAGAGACAGAAGACTTGTCACCCCACGGATCCTGCTAGACACGCGTCTACTCCGGGTGGTTCACTGGACGATTGTTTTATAAAAGTTCAAATTTAAGATATTGTGCGGTGGGATAATTGCACCTGGCTTTGAATGTCTTATTTCACAAGCTAGATACGATAACACTCCTCCTCTAGCATGTTTCTCAATTTATCTTTTATACAGACATGTTTTCGCCATTTTCGAGATTCATGTTTTGTTTTGATTCTGTTTTCTTTTGACTTTCAGTGTTTGCCATATGCCTCACTGAAAATAATGTGTGATTGTGCTGATATTGATAATTAATAATGAGATATATAATGTATCATATTCTGAATGGTGTGGGCAGTTTTTTTTTTTTTGGTTCAAGGTGGTTTACTGTTGTCTTTGTTACCATTGTGCATTGCAATTTTATACTTCAAAGTAGAGGTTGGACTATGTAATCAAACAAATGTATCTAACATTAAAAGACGCATGGTGCCTTTGGGGCCATTTTTCCCCAGAAAACCTATTAAACATGTTTGTAAATTGATTTTGTTCATGATGGGTAATTTATTTGATACAATCAAAAATACCATTAGAAATATAGAAACCAGATATTATGTTCGTATTTAGAAACTACAATTTAGCTTTTCTGCGTAATGATAAAGCTGAGTATCATAACGGCCATATATTGGTTGGCTGAAATCACAATGAAGTCGCCTCTGAGTTAACATAGCTCACATGTTTTAAGTCAATATTCACAATCTGGTAACAGAAATGTGTCCATGTACCACTATATTCACTCTTGTTTTGTATTTGAGTGCAATTTTGAGGATATTGTACGTACTTTCCTGGAGTTCCCTCGTTTTACTTTCCACTTCACTATATTGTAAAAGGGAGTTTTTTTGTTAAGTTTACCCTACTATATTTATCTGACAAATGTATTGTAATTAGTAGTTACTTTTCAGACTTTGCATTCAAAGCATAATTGCTGAAGTTTGAACATTTGTTTTCCAAGCCCTTTGTTTTGAAGGCTTACAAAAAGTGTGAGTTAATTAACAATTTAATATATGGTTTTCAGGGGCCGTTTTCCTGCACTCTGAGTATTTTATTTTCTATACTTTACGTACATTGAGCTGATAATAACAAGTATGTTCCTAAATAGGGCCGAATTGAGGACAGTGTACAACTTTTGACTAAGAGGACTTTACTTCCCACAAGCAATTGCAGTTGAAGAAATAAAACCGGAAATGACGCTAAAATAAAACCGGATGTTCGCTAAAACCCTCCAAATAAAAATTGTGCACAATAAATTATCGCTTGCTTAAATTTGCGTTATGTTTTAAAATAAATCCAAAGTTCAAATTAAGTTCATTACAAGAGTGTTCTAATACTTTAATTAGCTATCATGTCCCTGAAATACAGACAAGACTCAGGTTCCTGTTTTACTTCGGAGGGAAAACCATAACCGGAGGTCCTTCACGTGTATTTTGTACTCCAGCTGAATTCAGAGAAAAGGTAGCGGAGAAACTCCGCTGAGTTAATGATCGGAGATACTGACCAACACACTTTGACAATAATTACCTAGAATTACCGTTACTTTAATCGCTAGCTGGCTAGCACGCTTAAAGCGGGTGTTTTGGCTCCCGAGAGCTAAACTGACATTACGGCGCATCGGTGAAACGGTCCGCTAACTTCAGCCGACGTCCACAAGTTCGTGAGGTGAGCTGAATAAGCTAGCTACCAAATACATAAACCATTTAGTTTAACAAGTAAACGGTAACCGGAGGGACTACAAGGGACTCGTGTTTGTTAAATAACTGTATTTAGCTAAGAGTGGCTCATCAGTCAGCGTCATCGAATCGGTCACCTGTAAAGTGCTGACTAACCTTCGCATGTTGTCATTTAACACAAAACGTCGCCGTGGTCCACCGAGCCTACAAGCTAACGGCTGCGACCTACAGCTCATTTCACCTGCGCTGCATTCTGGGAATTTCTCTTGTCCGAATGTTGCCGCATCGTTGCCTCGTGTTTTGTATTCGTGTCCGTTATTGTGTCCACGTGTTGGGTTAACGTGTAACGCGGCTGCGACGTGGACCGACTCCCTTTACGGTTAAACAGACCGATGCCTCGGACCACTTTTAGGTTCACCTTTGACCCCCGTGAAGGCAAACGGAGACTTGTTTGTTTTTACTCGGGCTTGACTCACGATGAAGAAGCAGGTCTTCATCTGACAGCGATGTCAGCACTTTAAGGGTGCATTGTTGGGACACACACACACCCCCGGGAGAAATGGCCTCATTACTTTGTCTCTTTTTGGGGATAGATGTGTTGACATCTGCCTGACCAGGGTCACTTATCCCATTCAAAGGAAAACATAGCTGCGCAGTCCATTCACATCTAACAAAGTATTCCAGTGGATCACGTGAGATATGCTGATAGAATGTCAGTCATTCCACATTTTTTGTTTATTTGCTTTTAGCACGTGCCCAACTCTCAAGCTGCGTTTCTGTGAATTACTTACTAATTCACCGTAGTTTGTGTATTGACAGGAATGTTTTCTAACGCGTGTCCGATCCCATCACAAAACAAAACAAAAAAAAGTGACCTCATTAATAACAACAATCATTTCACGTGTCACATTAGGAGCTGTGCTGGTCACCTCACCTGATCTGACCCTCCCATCACCAGATACTGATCTCTGATCTGCCAGCATGGCTAACACAGACTCCCTCCGTGTCCGGGTCTTCTCTCTCAACTGCTGGTCAGTGGCTGTGGTTTGTAGTGATTTCTAAAAGCACCCTTTTATTTTTTTTATTTTTTTGCGGTCTCAACACACGTGTATAAAAACCACTGTGTGCGTGTTTACTTCTCCAGGGGGATCCGCTACGTCAGCAAACACACTCCTCAGCGCTACGACATGATTGGAGAGCTGCTGTCCAAGGAAGAGTACGACATTGTCTTACTGCAAGAGGTTGGTGGATGCCGTCCTTCAGAGTTTTAAGAGTTCACAGTTAAGTTTCAATCCACTGAGTTATGTATTTTTTTTAGTTATATGTATTTTTTTTTTTTTGCCATGAAGACCAACCTTAAGTTATCATTCTTGGATGTTATTGTACATTTCAACTGACAAATCCTCTTTTTGTTTACAGGTGTGGAGTGAGAAGGACTATCTCTCCTTGAAAAAGAAACTGGCCTTCTGTCATCCTCACTCTCATCACTTCAAAAGGTTCATTTATTTTCTGTTTTCAATCCAAGATTAACATTTACATTTCTTGTTCTCAAAATGCTTCTGATTTTACCCTTTGCCAGAAAAATCCACTCGCATGGCATCGATCCAAAGACCAAAAAGTGAAGCCTTAGCAGCAACTAGAGGATTAACTTTTTTTTAACTCATTCTTTCTTTCACAAGACTGAGATTAACCGTTCTAATCCCCTTTGCAGCTCACAAAAAATCGACTCTACTAGATCAATTCTCGTCAGATAGTTTTTTTCTTTACTTTGATCTGAATGGAAACCAGAGACGGGCGTATTTCTTCAGACAATAACCGCGAGCTACTGAAGCTGGTGTGCGGAACATGCGGCTTCTTCTCACGCGCTGTTTCTCTTCTTCCAGCGGAGTCATCGGCAGCGGATTGGCCATTTTCTCCAAACACAGAATCCACGACACTTTTCTATACCGCTACTCTCTGAATGGTTACCCTTACATGGTGGGTGGAATGTTCTGTAAGGTGCATTACAAATATGACACGATGGAAGAGAATAATGATGAACTAAAGGGTTGAATAAAGGTACGCTCATGATTTGCCACAAAAAATTCACACAAATTCAACCCCCATAGCAATGTTTCACAACTTTGGTTTCAAATTGCTTCATAAAAGACATAGATAAGAGAGCGGAGATACACGGTGCAGTAAAATATGAACACGGTTCACATTTTAATTTGAATTGTAAAAGTATAGAATAAAAACTATTTCAGACAAGAAGGTCACCTTGAGAGCAGAGATCTCTACTAAGGCCAATGATAACTTTATATGTCCTATTTCCATACTGTCATTCTTATGTCAAAAGCTGTTTGTGGCTATCTGAAGGGCCGTTATTATGTACCTCTAAATCAGAGATGTCACACATTCGTTTGTGTAAACCAGAAAGAATACCTTACCCTGTGCACACAACGATTCATTTTCTTAATTACACAGATAGAGAATAAATGTTTTGCTCCACATTGGATGGGTTCCTCCTTGAACTCCTTTGGTTCACCAGACCTACTCGGTCAGTTTTAAGGAAACAATCATGTCTGTGATCATAATAAGCCCCGAAAGAAAATCTAGCCAATCGTTTTAAGCATTTTGCACACAAACATTTAAACCAAACTCACAACGTATCCTCCCTGGTGGAAATAAGACACGGAACTCTTAAGATAAAGAGCTCGCTCGCCCGATCACTTCCAGCAACGTGAAGCTTCACCTTTTATAGATCACGCGTCGGAGTGCACGTGTGATTCATTATGATGTGATGTAACCTCTCTGTTGTCTTCTTCCCAATAATAAGGTTCAACACGGCGACTGGTTTGGAGGCAAAGCCGTCGGCATGGCGGTCTTGAAGTTGGGCGGCCTGACCGCCAACGTCTACGTGACTCACGTAAGCGGCCCGTGGCTCAGTTCTCAGGCCCGCCGGCGCGTTGTGCACACTCATTGATCAACGTGTTGCCGTCTCATGGGTTCCAGCTGCATGCAGAGTACAGCAGGGACAAGGACTCTTACCTACCTCACCGCGTGGTGCAGGCCTGGGAGCTGCAGCAGTTTGTTCGGTAGCATGTCTTTTGTATTTCTGCACATATTCTTCTCGCGTGAACTTCCTCCGCCGCTGTTTGGAGTTTGTGTGAGACGTTGCGTCTGGTTTGTGTCCTCGGTAACGGCGTGTTTCTTCTGCGGCGACCAGTCACACCTCCGCCGCAGCAGATGTGGTGATTCTAGGTGGGGACCTCAACATGCACCCTCAGGACCTCGGCAGCAGACTACTGATGTCCTACACTGGACTCCGGGACTCCTATTTAGAGTCTGCTGAATTCGATGTAGGCGGTGAACGAGGCTGCACAATCGAACAAAATGTTAACAATGTTAACAAAAAAAACAACTTTTTTTTTTTCCTCAGGGGTGTGAGGACGGAATGACTCTGATAGCGGACAACCCTTTCATTGGCAAAGGGTCCATGGGTCCGTTGGAGAAAGGAATTCGAATCGACTACATCCTGTTCAAGGTGGGGGAAATTCGCGTCCCCTCGTGTTTCAATCAAGAGGCTGATGTTTTCACCCCCCCCAAAGCATTTCCCTCTTCCTTTTTCTTTGTTTCGTTTGATTCCCAGGGATCCTCCGAAAGGGACGTTCATTGTGATTTCATGTCGACCACCAAAGGCTCCGCCCCTGACCATCCGTTCCCGTACTCGGACCACGAGGCTCTGACCGCCGCGTTGAGAGTGGAGACGCGGCAAAGACCATCTAAGAACCAGGACTCTGCTGGAGGTACGTGAACTTCATGGTTCCCTCAGGAGCAATTATAATAACCGTGAATATTTATAAACATATTTGGGAGCCAATACGGCGGCGGGAAGAAAAAACGTAAATGTCAGTTCCAGGTGTCTGTCTCCTCTTTAGTCCCTGCAGAGGGTCCACGTCTGTTACAGAAGACCTCCTGTGATTGCATTATGGTTAAAGAACAGACTTTTACCGGTTATTAAGTCTTATTTGATGATCCACCTGTCAATCAGCAAGAATAACTCTTATTACTGCTGATTTGTTCTGTTATGCTGTTCTCTGTGACCACATTGAATATTAACCGTTACATCCTCAGGGAAGACGGCTGAGTTGGTGGACATCGTGACGGAGGCTCGCACCGAGGTCAAAGTGGGCTTGCACTGCGCCGAGCGGATGCGCTACACGGCGGCGCGCACCGGCGCCATGGGGCTGGCTCTGCTCTTCCTGGAGCTGGCCATCGCCGCCGTGCCCTGGTTGGCCCTGGGAGCGGCGCAGCCCTTCCCCCGCACCTCCTTCTACCTGCTGGCCGCGCTGTGCGTCGCCATCCTCTTCACCACCGCGCTGCTCTACGTCTTCTACAGCGCCGAGCTGAAGTCCCTCCAGGGCGCCGAGGACCAGATGCGGCTGGCTGTGGGGAGTCTGCAGGAGGAGCTCAGGGGGTTCCCCGTGGCTCAGCCCCACGGCGCCCAGCGGGGCGCCCTCGGCCCAGAGGAGTGACACGGGAGCGGGGAGGGTGGCTCGCTCAAAGGTGCCCTTGAAGTGAGCGTTCAGAGGGGTGTTTTGAGGAGGTTTTCCTCCTGTGAATGTTTTTATGTGCAGAATGAGTTTCTGAAAGTCGTGAAGGACGAACCCTTTGACCTTTTTTTTTCTTCCTACCTTTTCTATGCTCGTCACCAGCTTTTTGTCCTCCTTTTAAGATTTCCCCCAACGCACAGCCACAAACACGCTCCGTCACATGGTATATATTGTCTGTGCTGCTCCTGAAGGTCATGGAGGCGACCTGTCATGAGCCGTAGGTCGTGCCTGCATTCCACCGACCGGTACTTTCAGCGGGACCAGTTCTTTCTGTTTTCGTGTTTTTCACGCTTCCCTCTCGGGATTTGGACACGACTGTCGTGGGTCCAGATGGTTTGATCCGTTTGTTTTCACATTGAAGCTGCACCGAAGAAGCAGACGCACCCAGTTTTCCTCTGCAGGACAGATTGATCCTACGCACCAGTTAAGACTTTTTAGTATTTAAAGGAAAGGGACACACTTAATCGGTCTCATGCTCACCGTCCTGCGAAGCATCTTTATGTATCGACGTGTTCCCACGTGATGTCTTTTGTACTGTAGAAAGTGTGCAGGGCACTTAGTCGACTAACCCAATGAACTACTTCCTCAAATGTAAAATAGGAAATTACTCAACTATCTATGTGGCTGTAAAACCGTATAATGACTCACCAGAAGCCTGACTGATCATTTATTAACTTTATTCTTTCACATCCATGCCGAAAGAAGCACCTGATGATGTTTTTTTAACTTTGTACCGGATGTAACTTTTCAATATAATACCTGATGTTCATTCCAATTGAAAAAGAATGCGATGATCCTGATTGTGAAAGCGATAATAAAGGCTTCATACGCTCGCTGTCGACCCGTCGGTGTGCGATGGGTTCTACACATTCACCACTAGAGAGCAACGCTGCGACGCACTTCTCACACGGGAACACGGAACAGGATTTTACCACCTCGTCATTCGGCAGAGACGCCAGATGGCACAGGTAAGCCCTGAGGCCAGGAGCACCCATGGGTGTGGTACATGTTCAAACAGAAGAAAAACAAAATTCCCAGGCAAAGATTTGAACTGATGTTGAACCACAAACATTAGCTGCAGTGAAACGCGGCCTGTTGTCGGTGGAGTCACAGAGGCCTCAGAGACCCGACCGTGGACACAGCGAATGCAAATCAGGCTCCACGACGCAAATAAGCTTGAAGTTGTTGGTCATTTCACAAAAGATTGATGTATTGTTATTTGAAAAGCGAGAATAACAAAGGGAGTAGTATTTGAAGGGGGAATTACTTTGTATGTGCCAAAACTAGTCTCAATAAGTATGCGTTGTTTGTTCTAAGCATTTACAACAAAGTGCTTTTGTATTTGTCTTGCAGTGACATGTACAGGCCAAATAGTTGGAAGGAAACACGCATACATGCAAGTACTTAATTATCCTCGTTTGAACTGTTGAATATCAAGCCCCCGAAGCAGGACAACTACTCGAAATGATTCAAATCCACAGCCATAAATATCCAAGAAATGAGTTCCCACATGTTTAGTCTGACTTTTGTTTCTCTTCCGTCCTTCATTAATTCTCAAGAGTCCGATTCATCTCTGGTTTTGGACCTTTAACGGCACCTCCACCAGCATCTGCAGGAGAACACCTGGAAGCAAGGAGCGCATTGCAAGGCGCAGAGGAGGTGGTGCGTAATGCGCGATGGGCGCGGTCTGACGGCGCATGGGGCAAGGTGCGCGTTCACTTCCTCCCGAGCACTCCGCGGCTGTCACGCTTCTACGCACGGTCCTCTTCGACCCTCCCCCTCCCCCCTTCCTGACCTCCCGCACAGCGAGGGGAAGAAAAATACCCCCACACCATCTCCCCCACCCCCCCACTCCCACACAAGATGAATCTGAACCCGCTGAAATCGGCCCTTTCCATCGGGAACGTGGACGACACGTCGCTGGCGCTGCCGTCCGGGGCCCCGGGCCGCTCGGGTCAGCAGCGCGTCCTGGAACAAGTGCAGACGATCCGGAGGACCAAGTCGAGGATGTCGAGCAGCAGCAGCAGGAGCGCGTCTACTTCTTTATCCCCGACATGTAAGAAGGAAACCTGGGAATCATCTAGCGGATTAGTGAAAGCTGTTGACCCCGCGGTGGTTCCACCTTTGTTTATTTACCTTTTTGTTCCGATTGTTTTAACACCCTGGGGAGGTGTGTGTGTGTGGGGGGGGGGGGGGGGGGGTACTAAACAACAAGGTGAATAAGTTATTAAGTGTAAACGTTATTTTGAAAATGTTTATGGAACCTCTATGTGGTTTGAAGTAAGAGGGGTCGTTTGTGGCCTCAGTATTTCGAAAATGTTACTCTCTTGATCGCATTTTAATCGAAAAAAAAGGTAGACAGTCTCTTTTTGATATTTGGGATGAAACTATTTAAAATAAGAATAACCCCAATAAGTTAATTAAATGTCCAAAAGTATTTTTAAATCAAAAGTAATTCCATCTAAACATTATTCAACATTGACAACAAATAGTCTTGAATATCAATGACATCGGCAGAGTTGAATGAATGAATGAATTAATGAATGAATTAATCGTAATCATCTATATCGTCCCATGTTTCCCACTTGGAGGCCTTTTGTTTCTTAAGTTAGTCTTAAGTGTTTTTATTGATAGACACTATTTTCTCAAAGAGAAATCAGACCTGACGCCAACTCAACAGTGAACCGGTTTCTTTGTTTTCTTAGACGAAAGAAATAATTGAAAGTAATAATTGAAAGCATTTATCTCCGGCATGTGTGCATGATAACCGCTGATAACCTTCCCCATGTGTCCTCAGCTCCTCCGTATGACTCCTTTTTCTCAGAAGCTCTGAAGTCACCGTCCAGCCCATCTAATGGATTCCTCCTCTTCGGAAACAGCTTTTCTAAAACTGTAAGTCAACGATTTGTATTTCTTTTTGTTTATTGTCACTTAATGTCTTTTCATTTTGATTAAATGTCATTTTCTAACACAATTAGACAGATTGGTTACAAATTAGGTTAGAAAAAAAAGTACTTGTTATTTTTGTTGTCAAATATTTTCAGAATTAATTTAGGGTTGTTTTGTCTATAAATCGCAAAAATATGCCCATAAAAATAACCAAGAGGGTGTCTTCAAATTGCTTGTTTTGGTCAGATGAACCCAAGTATATTTCATTATTATTAGTATTGTTATAAACAATAAGTGAAAGTGGCAAATACTCAGAGACACTGGAAACGGAAAATATTTGCCTTTTGTGCTTAACATTTTTAGAAAATCCTGCCCTAGTCCGTGTGTATTACGACTGACCTTTAATTTCCAATAAATTAAAGTGAAACCTTTTTTTATTTCCCTACTATTTGATGGGACGTTTTAGTTGGGCCCTGTATAGTCCATATTCAATTCAATTCATTTTATTTAGTATAGCCCAAAATCGCAAATTACAAATTTGCCTCAGAGGGCTTTACAGTCTGACATACATGAGAGAGGAGCTTGGTGTGTCCTTAGAAGTCCCCCGGCCGTCTAAGCCTATAGCACCTTAACTAAGGGCTGGTCCGGGCTGACCTGAGCCAGCCCTAACTATAGGCACAATCAAAGAGGAAAGTTTTATGTTTTACTTTAAAAGAGCTGACCGACAAACAAAAGAGGAGCTTGATGACTGAAGGCTCTGGCCCCCAGCCTACTTTTTAAAACCATAGGAGCAACAAGTAACCCAGCATCTATGGAGCGCAGCTGCCTTGTAGGGCAGTAAGGTGTTACAAGCTCTTGAAGATACGACGGTGCCTCACCAGCAAGTGCCTTGTAGGTGAGGAGAAGTACCTTAAAATCTATTCTTGATTTAACAGGGAGCCAGTGCAGAGAAGTTAATACAGGAGTGATATGATCCCTTTTCTTAGTTCTTGTTAATACACGTGCTGCAGCATTCTGAATCAACTGGAGAGGCTTAAGAGATTTACAAGAGCAGCCTGATAACAGAGAATTACAGTAGTCCAGTCTGGAAGTGACAAACGCATGAACTAATTTTTCTGCATCACTTTGAGACAGGAAGTTCCTGATTTTTTCCTGATGTTACGTAGATGAAAATAGGCAGTCCTTGACGTCTTCTTTATATGCGAGTTGAAGGTCATATCCTGGTCGAAGAGAACTCCCAGATTCCTGGCGGTGCTGCTGGGTACCAGAGCAATTCCATCCATAAAAAGCGTATCACGTGACAGCCGGCTGCGAAGGCGCTCTGGGCCTATCAGGATAACTTGAGTTTAGCATCAGGAAGTTGCCGGTCATCCAAGTTTTGATGTCTCCAAGACATTCTTGAAGTCTATTGTGGCCGCCAAATACAAAACAGAAGCTCAAAGGGCTCAAAGATGTGTTGTCCACAGCAGACGTTTCTCCAATTTTCTCCTTAAAAAACCTGTTTCCAGACTTTTCCGTCTCCCCTCACAAAGACATTTGTTGTTTACCAGCCAGCACACAACCAAACCACAATTCACTCGTCCACCATCAGTCTGTTTCTTGGCTTCGTTGTCGGTGGATTAAAATTAAAATTCACTGAAAGCGCATGTGACCTTTGGCTCTGCAGCTCACCCAAGAGAAAAACGGCATCATGGGATCCGGCGTGAAGACGACCGCGGCTTCCGCTCATCAGTACAACGCGGGTCGCGCGCCGCTCTCCTCCGTGGCGGTCGGTCAAACCATCTCCGGCCGCAGCCTGAGCACCTACAAGACGGAGGGCGCCGCCGCTCGGGTCGCCACGGGCTCCGCTGCGTGGCATCAGCTGCGGCCCGCGCCCTCCCTGAATGGGACGGGCCGCGGCAGAACGAACGGCGGGTTCGTGACCGACCAAGCGGACGGCACCAAAAGTCTGCCGCAGTCACCCGCTACTGAGAGCGCTCCGAAGATCCAGGCGGGTTCGGGGTTAGTTGCTCGCCAATTTTTGCTCATTTTGATCAATGGGAATCGTGTGTGTGTGTCAATGGAAATATGAATATTGTGTGTGTGTTTGGTTGGCGTTTCTTCTAACAACCCAAGGGACATCAGCGGAGTTGCAGACATCACCATGAAGGAGGCCGTTGAGTATCTTTCCAGCGGGGACGAGAACTTTCAGCACTGTGGCGCTTCCTACATCCAGCACAGCGCTTTCATCGACGACAAGGCCAAAGAGGAGGTGCCTTTTCTCGTTTATCTGCGTGTTGTGTTGACGTAGTGCTGATGGGTTTTAACCTGATAGTTAGTCCGGCGATCCAAACAAAAGGCACACATGTGCTATTCTCCCAAAGACGAAACAGCCAGTCGCAGCACACTCATCCCACGTCAGTCAGATTTAAGGGGAACTTAATACAGCGCTTGGATCTGTAATTTGAATCCTGCGAAGGAATGTCTCCCGCACGGAGAAAGTGAAGCGTATTTCCTCTCTTATATCCTCCCTATTGTTCTCAACCGTTTCGTGTAGAAACTACGGTTCAAAGGAAAATAGCTCACAACAGACAAACGGTCCAGATGCATTTCCAGCTTGGCAGCTCATAGCAAAACTAATAATCAGACTAGTGCATCATATAAAACGAATGTCCCTGTAATTTACTACCCCCACCTCCGACGTCTGGCAGGTGTTGAAGCTCAACGGGATCCAACCCCTGGTGGGTCTGCTGCGCAGCTCCAGCTCACGGGTCGGCCAGACGGCCTCGGCTGCCCTCCGTAACCTTTGCTTCAAGAGCGACGGCGTCAAGGAGAAGGTGCACTGCTTGGGCGGCGTCGCCGAGGCGGCGGCGCTGCTCAGGGACACGGACTCCGTGGAGATACAGAAACAGCTGACGGGTACAAGTTTATCTCACGCTTATACGTGGGCGCACACACACACACACACACACACACACACACACACACACACACACACACACACACACACAAACTTGTGACCAGACTTGCTTGAAATGTATATTCAAGCAAGCACCATATTGCTGCAATCGCCCCACTTCTGTTCTAATGATGAAGTCATTAAGCGTTGTTTTATGGGTGAAATGTGGCAAATGATTATATGTTGTCTGATTCTGAACTTTACAAACAGTCGTAAAAGATCAAGTGTCCGATACCTGGCCGACACCCGTCATTAAAATATACAAGTAGACTGTTCGCACACCTTAAACCCGTGTAATAAAAAAAAAAAAAATGACGGTGATGTTTTATTCTTCCCACAGGCTTCGAATACACTTTCGATTCACGTGCCACTCAAACACGCTGACGTCTTCACTTTGCTTCCAGGTCTTCTGTGGAACTTGTCCTCCGTGGACAGCGTGAAGCCCGAGCTGCTTAAGAGTGCCCTGCCGGTCCTGATGGACCGCGCCGTCCTGCCGTACACGACCGACCCCGACAGTAACAGCCAGGACCCCGAGGTCTTCTTCAACGCCACCGCGTGTCTGAGGCGAGCCAAAGACCCAACCGGGCACCCGACCCGCCCGCGGCACTCGTTTTCTCTTCTTTGCGTTACCGAGCAGGAGACGCGTCAATTTTGGTCGCACGCTCTCAATCTGCTCTCAATCTGCTGTGTGTTTACAAAGGGTGTGGTTATTGTTGTGTTATTTTCAGGCACATATTTCTGTCGAACAACGCAAACAATTGTAATCGACTTGTTAAACCGCAAAAGCAACATCACAGCAAAACATGCACTCAGCCGGCAGTCTACTGAGTACCCTCACGGATAGAACTACGTTATTGTAAAACACCAGGAATGCATTTAAAAAGAAGAAAAAAAGGCTGCAGTCGGGCTGCAGAGTTCTGAAGGACTTTTACTCCTCGTACCTGTGACTGCGTTACATCGGCATCAATCAAACTGCAGTCACAGGGGATATTAGGGCGTTGGCCGGTTATCTTCAGCGAACACATGCTGCTCATGTAAGACATTAACCCTCCGCTATTATTCTGCAGAAGCTGCACTTGTTTCCACGAGTGAACAAGATTACTCTTGTTTACCTTTAAGGCGACGCAAGATGACTATTAGATCAAATCACTGCATCGCATAACAGCTTCAGTCTGAACGGTGAATGCTGATGTGCTCATGCTGCATTCAAAGTAATGCTGTAATAGTCACAAAACACATTACGTCATGGATCTAAACATCGTTCAACATGCGCTTTTCCCTTTTCAACAGGAACCTCAGCAGCACGAAGCAAAGCAACAGGCAGGCGTTGAGGAAATGCCGAGGTTTGGTCGACTCTTTGGTCAGCTACGTCAAAGACTGCGTGGATGCAGGAACCCCCGATGATAAGGTGACGGGGAGAGAACACAATGTGGTCATTGATACTGTGATCTTTGTCTGTCTGCAGCTCTTTTCACAGGTCACACCTTCAAGTGGAATGTGAAAAAAAAGCCATCCATTATAAGGGTTACAGTTTGAAGTATTACTGTTGTAGTTTGGACGGAGCAGTTCTACTGCAACAGAAGCTTTAAATGAGTCATACTGTCCTAAGCTGCTTGGAGAAATACGTACTGTGACTTCTATCATTACTATTCACTGTTTTAAATTAACAAAATGCAAAAACTTTTTTCTCTTTCAATAGTATTTGTATAATTGTTTTGCCTCATTAGTGTAATTATCATTTTCCTCTTGTAAAAATGGGGTACTGAAATGTTTCTATGCTCAGGGATTAGTGTAATTTGCTAATTTAGCAGCTACAATTTGACTCTGATTTTTCACAAAAAAAACAAGGAAATAATTTTTTTTTTAAAAAGTCAACACAACTCATGTTGTTCCTGTGGAAACAGTCCTTGGAAAACTGCGTGTGCACCCTGCACAACCTGACGTTCCAGCTGGAGGCCGAGGCTCCGGCTCTGTTCAGCAGGATCACCGCGTTGGCCCAGACTGTCAACAGGGGACACGGCGGAGCCGACGCCGGCCCCATCGGCTGCTTCAGTCCCCACAGCAAATCGCCAGGACACGAGGTGAGAGGACGGCGCTGCACGACAGATGCGTAGAGCAGGGCCAAGGCGGTACAGTTTGTCTAGACACAATCTGTCAGTATGTCATTAATCTTTACCCGCAGTACAACCCGTCTGTTAATTGCACCGCCGTTGTGGCTGTTAAACCGGTAATTACTTACTGTAGTCTTTGCAAGGCTTTAAAGGGCTTTGGGTGACCGTGTGAGACATTGTGCTCTGATTCCAGTAGGTATTTCCCTTTTTGCTTTGTGTTCAGTCTGCTGCATTTTGCATTCCCATGACAAACTGTGTTTGGAAATCGTTTAGATTCAATTGTTGCAAAGCACAAGAGTTATCCATTTCACCATCCTATCAATGGCACATATTGAAATTGAATAAAAGAAATTCTATCGAGCCGCTCTACTATAACATTGTTCCTCCGCGTTTCTCGTCCAGCGCCGCTTTGACTTCCCGGTCGTTGAGGATGCACAACCGAGTGGGGCCAGTTGGCTGATCCACTCCAAAACTATGCAGAGCTACCTGTCCGTGCTTGAGACGAGCCAGCGAGAAGAAACCCAGGAGGCCTGTTGCGGAGCCCTGCAGAACCTCACCGCACAAGAAGGCACTGTAAGAAGAAACAAACCAACATGATATCATCTAAGCGGCTCGAGCAGAACTGCTGGCATAACTTTTTAGTTATCGTTGTATTTTTGGCTTGCACCCCGCTTGATGTTTCCTGAATTAACGTTTTTATTGTCCTCACAGGTCTCCAGCGTGATCAGTCAGATGATTGTCCAGAAAGTAAATGGCCTGCAAGTTATCTGTCCCCTTGTAAAATCGGAGAAAGTCAACATTCAGAGGAGCGCAGTGGCTTTGTTGGGAAACCTGACCAAAACCCCCAACTTGACCTATTCTATAGGTATGAGGAAAAAAAACAAGTCGCCTGCTTGTTGTGAACATAAACATGGTTAAGCATAGTGCTAAGATGTATTTAGAATCTGCAATTCTCATTTGAGTCAGTACCTAAAAGTGCAGAATCCTAAACAATCATTTTCAGTTTTCCGAGTGCTTGCTGGAGTTAAACGGCCCGTGGGTTTTTGTTTGCTTTGATACTGAAGCTCGTAAAGCCCTCCCAAATCTGCTGGACGTCCTCAGCGCAGGCACCAAGCAAGGAAATGAGTCCGATGACACGCTGGCGATGGCCTGTCGGACGTCCAACAGCCTGCTTATGAAGGAACCTGAGATGGGCAAACACCTGTTGAACAACAACCTGATTAACTCACTGAAAGATCTCAGCCTAATTGGGTAAGGTTGCATGAGCTCAGTATTCTTAACAAAAGGTCCAACTATTACCTATGACTCACCGCAATTATGTTTCGCATGAGTGATGTTTCCGCCACGATGGAAGTCCCAACGGTCCTCTGACTTTCCTGTTTTCCCTTTTTGTAAAGATATTTACCCAAATCCAGCAGAGCTGCAGCCCTGCTGCTCTATAACATGTGGTTGGAAAAGGATTTACAAAGCGCCCTGAAAAAGGTGAGGTTCAACCCCTTTTTGAAGGGAAAAAAAAAACCTGTCAGGGGTTTGGGTGTGTCCTCTCCGTCTCACACCCTTTTAAAGTGTCCACGCCCCTGGCAGGCATTTGTGAGAAAGGGAGGCAGCCAGGTTGGATTGGGCGGCGTTCAGACTTCCCAGTCAGTGTGATTGATGCGTCTTTGAAGCGCTAACGCAGGCTGTGTCATCGGGAAATGAGCCAGGAGCAAAGTGTACTTTGCTTCAGGGGTTTCTCACTTACTGTAAATTCAGTGTGTTTGCTGAGCCGGTGCACTGATTTTTCATTTGTCTATTTGTCCCGCAGCAAGGGATGAGTAAATCCTTGTTTGTGAACGACATCACCGCGGCCGCGCTCAAGTCCGCTTAAGATGTTGGTTAACGAGGCAGCTTAGACGGATGGCTGGAAGTGGAGAGAGGAACTCCCGTCCCGCCGCACATCCACCACGGCTGAGCGCCATCCTTTTTTCATTTCACAAAGACTTAATTAATTAACATAATCCTTCCATCAACATGCATTAACGCTGTAAATGCTGTAAGGTCATTTCTGCTTTGTAGGGAAGAAAGGGTCACATGTAACGTGTCAGAAACTAGACAAGCTTTGTTTGGGTTTTAAAAAAATGTTAAATGTCTTTTAATGTCACATGTGTATTTGTGTATCTGGTGCCGTGAGCTCGCTTTATCAGAACACGCGGTTATTTTTGTTTTATCGCCAGGAGATAAAAAAAAGTCAATTTGACTATGTAAAAAGAACGCATGTAACAGGACTGGAGTTTACTGTTGGTGATGTTTCCATCTTTTCTTATTTTCCATTTGTATGATCTTGAAATAATTGTAACGTCCCCAAAAAGTCAAATTAATAAATCTGACGGATCTCCTCCTGAAGCTGTTACTATATTTTTCAACCGTTTCTCAAAGTCACTTGTGCAGAATAATGAGTTTTATGAAACCGTGCGTATCGTCGCACCCCTGCGGGGCTTTTGGCTGCAGAGTTTGACAAGCTTCTGGGCAGATTAGCAGCTCATCTTTCAAATTCTGTTTACTCTCCCCGTATCGTTTATTTTCTGAGGCTTACGAACAAGCTCTTCGAGCCACTGCAGTTGTTGCTCAATCGCGCAATGCACTTGGTGTATTGCGCGATTGTTTACAGGATTTGAACTTTGCTCCTTCAAACCAGGTAATTCACCCGAGAGCCAAGAGAGTGTTCTGGGGTCATAGGTGACACTTTTACACTGGTAGATTTTTTGCTCATTTCCAGACCTTTGGTGCTGCAGGGAGCAGGTTTTTTTCAGTAAGACTAAAGAGACAGACGCCAACATTTCCGGTTTATTAAACAAATATTTTGTTTTATTTCATTGCAACCACAATTTCGTAGACACAAGAAGTAATTAATTTGTCTCCACTTCCCTTTTAGTACTAATAATGATTCGGTGGTAGGACAGAACCATAATAATGTCATTTCAGACAGTAAAGTCATTTTAATGGTTTACACGTTGTCAAATCCCTGTCAAATACTCACGGTGTACTTCTACTCTACTGCTACGTTCCCGCAGATTAACTTTGTTTCACAGACACCCTATTTAAGAGCATTTGCAGTTTCATCCATGCATGTTCAAGTATTTGTAAAAACATCGTTTCGCGGTTAGTATCAGGTGTTTGCAGTTTCCTTCAGGTCACCCGTTACTTCCTGAGGCCACGCTTGCTTCTGCTGCCCTTTGGTCTGAGAAGAAAGTCAAAGTCAGCTGATTTAACGGGGCGTTAAATTAGCCGGCACAAAAAAAGAAACATGATGTGACGCGAAGGCACATTTCAGGGGTCCCGACCCCCAGGTTGGGAACCAGTGCTCCACAGAGACACGCACATGGAGCTTATCACAGCTGTCTGCTGTTGTAAGGGGATTTGCTACCAAATTGTTTCTGCTATGTTTATCTGCTGTTGCTACCAAGGTACTGGATCCCTGTAGCGTTAACACACACACATTTGTACCTTTTAGGTGAAATCAATGGGTTTTTAATGGTTTGGTTTGTTAATGCATCATTCTGTTTAATATTTTAATGTTTCCACTGATATAATTTCATGAAATGAAATGTACTTAGTTTTCCCTCAAAAGATGAACGGCATGTTTTGCCGAAGGGATTATTCTTTTGTTACGTTTTGCGCGTTAGAAGCAGTGAAAAACGATGATGCACTGATGTGACTTACACTTTCTGATGATCACTGACCCGGTTTCTCAGCACTGTGATCTGTGGAGATAATGTTTTTAAACGTGTTGAAATCCACCTTACCGATGCAAACATTTTTCAAATATCGGGCCGTAAAAGTAATGTGACTTTTTGAGAAGATGCACTACGTACACATGGCGTTCAGATACCTCACCTCATACTTTTGCTTAGACTGCTTATCCTGAAGTTCAAATTTCTCGGCCTCCAGCTTGTGAAGCCAGTCCCACAGTTCCTTTGCTTTTTCCCTGAAGCGGACAAGAGGCCGATTGATCGTGCGAGCGTGAATTGGAATGAAATGAAAGAGATGTTTTTATCTTTATTTTACCTGAGTTTGTCCTCTTTCATGTGATCAACATCTAACTCTTTGCGTCGCTCATTCAGAATCTTCTTCTTCTTTTCTCGCTCCGTTAGTTTTTTCCCGCCGGGCTGTGTCTGCTGTTCAGGAAGAGGGCACATGAAGCCATGTGCACGTGTCACATATGCAGAATGATTGGGTACTTTTAAAAGATAAGGGAAATCTCCTCACATTGTATCCAGTGAAACTCAGGTTGGACAGAATCATCTTCTTCCTCGCATCGTCGTCTGCTTTCTTCTTGGCGTCTTCCTCTTCTCTTCTCGCTCTCTCTTCCTGATGGAGAACATTATGGAAAGTTTGGGGTAGGACATCCAAAATGCACTACAAGACACGTAGAAGGTTTCCATCCGTCCTGTTTTGTTATTTGTCCTCCTAATACGTACATTTAATTTGTTTTGCCGCTCTTTTTCTCTCTCGGCCCGGATCTTCATCTGCTCTGCTCTCTCTGACCTCCTGCTCTCCTGGAGTAGAAAAAATAAATTCAAGTGTGAAACAATATGATGCAATCTGGGGATTTTCCATTAGAGGCTAAAGCGTACGATGCGATCCGTGAGGCCGATCAGCTCTTCTTCCTCTTTCTTCCGCTTTTCAAAGTGAGCGCCGATCAGCGTGTGGAGCTCGGTCAGGTCCTTCTCCATACGTTTTCGATGAATGTCCTGAAATGGTGGCAGGAAGTGGAAATGCGATCAGTCAGCCCTACCAAAAACTAGGCAGCTCGTCGGTGCAGCCTTGATCGGTGCTGAGATGAACTCACATCAAAGTCCACTTTCTCTCCATCTGGGATTTTAAGAGGTGCCAAGCCCGGCACGAAACCAGGCCTGAGGACAGAAACATGGAAATTGTTTCCCCTTCCTTTGTGTCACACAGAGAATTTAGTTTTCAATTTAAGTTTTAGGAATACAAATGAACTCTGTGCTTACTTTGACCTGTGCTTTGCCTCTTCTGAGGACGCACATGAAAGAAAACGCAAAGCAAGATCTTTAGGTTACGAGGCAATGTATTCAAATTATAAAAGAAAAGTGCAAAGACCCACAGGATCATTTTTCTACACAAACACATCTTTCATACCTGCTTCATTTTCCTCAGAATTATCTGCTGAAAGATGAGAGCGTCAGTGCAAAGTCAAACATTTGATGCACAAAAGAGCGTTTTGACCCCGAGGAAAAGGGTCACAGCCGGGATCTTTATCTTTGTTATCTAATACCGCCAACATTATAAACACAACAACATCCTGACAAATAAAAGAATGTATGACCTCAAATTAAGTTAATAGGATCTTTTTTGTTTCTTTTTTTTAAACTTGTTTATTTCAAAGGCGAATGCAATGGATACAGTGTAATCGCTGATTGACACACGTTGCCAGAGTATAAAGGAAGCTTTCAATAATGAGTCGAACTGTCTGTGCTGAAGATCTTATCCGGAGAGGAATGCTGGTGTGTTTACGGGACACGGCTTTAGATGATCATTACAGATAAACTACATGACGTCTCCACCCAGTTAACAAAGATCCATTAGTCAATTTTGTATTAAATGTTTTATATAATTGCCAAATGAAACACTGACTGGATTTTCAGCAGATACACAGATGCATCAGAGAGATGGTTTAACGTTATATTCTAAGACTTATATATGATCCCTATCCAGTTAAAACGGTTTCTCCTGGTACATCAGAGTGTGAATTGTCATGAAAGGTCATCGAGGTGTTTTTTCTCAGATGTTTTTTTTGAGAGAGATTGTTTTCCTTGGACAGCGACAGCATGTTATTTGGATAAATGCAAACTAAGACTCATTAGACAACATGGTTTACAACCGCGTGTTGCGCGTGTAGCCTTCTATTTACAGCTGGCATGCAAACAGATATTAGGATTAGCAAAACTACCTTCTACCCCTTCCTCTTCCTCCTGCTCGTCCTCCTCCTCCTCTACTACCTCCTCCCCCTCTGTGCAAAGCAAGCATGTACAGTTAGCAAGCAAACAATGTGAAAGTTTCATACAGCATCGATTTCAAAATGATTCCATAGTCCCTTCCAAACCGTTTACCTATTTTTTATGTAAACCAATTCTACACATCTTTTAATTGTTTTTATATTCTAAAATGTTTTCGCTATGTTTAAATCTGGGATGTTTCATCAAGACCTGCTATAGTCTGGCCCGATTTCAGCTGGGATCGGCATTAACCATTGTGACGGCTTCCCTAAATGCGCCGATATCGGCAACGTAGGGTGTTTAGCTTCTTTTAAAGAGAAACAAACACAATAGAATGATAGAAATAAATGAGATTATGTCAAATTTCTGCCATTAAACTCTCAATATGCCGCACATTAGGCTTCAAGCGACTCTCTAGAAGAGAGAACTATCTGGATTTCACTGGAGCGGGGAAGTAATTGTCACCAGCTTTCCCACAGTTTTAGTTTGTGGTCAGTTCTGTGTTTTTTGTTGTCGACTTTTCTCTCCTCATCGGTCCTCCGTGGGCTAAAGGGACACTGAGGCTTTTGGGTTTAGGTAACTCAACCCTTTTACCTCTGCAGAGACGGTAAGCCAACCTGCGTTTAGACCTCTAATGGGCATAACAAATGAAAGTGGGCATTGTGCCTGTGTCACTGTTACATACCCTGACCTACATTGCTCTCTAACAGCGATTCTACTCCACATAAAAGGTCCGGGGGGGGGCAGGGGGCGCTCCGTTTCAGGGATAACTATGCAGCTTCTAGGCAGCCTCACAAAGGAGACATAAATAGAGGCACAAACCCTTCAGCGGTTTGATGGGGATCTGAATTGGGAAGCCCGATCCACGGGGATGTCTATACAAAGCAAGCGGTCTCCGGCCTCAGATAGACAGAGGACTGGCGGGGAGGACAAAGGTCAATCGGGCAGGAGAGCTCAAGGACAGCAGCTGCTTCTGCAGTGGCATCAACGTGCCGAAAATACAGTAGGCTGTGAAGCCAGCGGCTTAGCAGGCGCAGTGTGTTAAGCAACGATAAATGCAAAGCTCGAGTGCGTAAAGTGGGTAACAAAAAAACAACAACCAGCGTCTGGAAGTTTAGATTTAGAAGCAGTTTTTAGATATTGATTGTATTAAAGTACATCACCATGTGTGTATATATAGGAATACAGTATATAAACTATGGCAATGCACTTCACAGGTGTTAAACACGCGCAGGGTCATTTCTGCATGCATTTAATACACAATATGGATGCTTTATGTTCACGTGATGTAGTGATGTGACGTGTAGCATCCAACCGGTCCGACTGAACCAGCAGCCTATTCACCACACTTCAACTGCCAAGACTCTTCTGGAAACAAGAAACCGACTTACGTTTCCCCCTAAAAAGCAAAAGAACAAAAAAAAAGAGCACACATATTGTGTTACAATCGATTCCAGCGGGGGCCGGCGTCACTTCGTCATTATCAGAAATGATCCATCTACTCACTCGTCCGTGGCGTCTTCTGTGTCAGACATGTTCAGGCTGCAGCACCTGCACAAATAACTCCAAATATCAAAGGAGGCCGAGGAGTGGCCCTGCCCCAACAGCAGCCTGAGGTCATAGGATAACGCTAAATTGAACCACGATAAACTGACTAAAAACACATGGGAGAGGAGGGAATAAACTCACCCGGTTAGTGCGATTTGCTCTTTAGACTGGACTCGATGGGGAACTGTACACTGTGCCCTCCTCTTTGGGCCATAAGCTTTTAAACCCAGTAGTGGATCACATGGCGCCGAGCTACCCATGTCCACAATGGGTGGGCACATACCTGCAAACAGATGGCAGATGGCATTAACTAGAATGGGAAAACTGAAATTCTCCGTGGACTTGCATTGTCTATTTTTACACGGCTGGGCAGCGCAGGATTATTCTCCACAAAAAGTTCCAGTAACTCAAGTCAGGTAGACAAGAGGAAGGTTAGAAATAATCCTTGTAAACCTCCTCTTGTGTGCAGCAAATACACAGAGAGGGTGTGTGTGTGTGTGGGGGGGGGGGTGGCGGGGGCTCGAGGTGATTCACAATCATTGGGATGCTGCAGATCAACGCCACGTGCGTCGCTCAACGGCATCAACAAACGGCAACAGTTGATTTCCCCCTAAACTTGATGTTTACTGGAACTCAATTGTCAATGAGCATTATTCCCACAGCAGGTTGCCATGGGAACGGGTAAAAAATAAAACGTACTTCTTTTACCAGCGCCGTCTCCTGCACCTCGCCCTTAATCTCTGCCCTGTCACGCAGTAACGTGCCGTAAACAACACCCTTTACGACCATGCCAAGTCTTTTGATACTCCCTCGCTGTTGACATTGTCTTCAGTTCAGACCCCTCCGTTGGGATTATGACTCATCACATGTCTCTGCTGAGCCAAAATGGGACTGATCGGATGGAGTTCCCCCTCCACCTCAACTACGGCTTGTGCACCAATGGTTTGATGCCTTTTTGAAGTCTTTGGGTGCTAAGTTGAAGTTAATTTTCCTTTTTAAAAGCTCTTCTATTTGTGTTCTTACTGTATTGTTCACTTTTTGGCAACTATTAATGTGAGCAAGAGGGGTCCACTTGGCCTCCGCCCACAAAATGTCCCTTAAAGATGCACTTGCCAACAAAGGGGACACTTAAAATGACCACAAAGAAATATCTTAACGACTAAATATAGATTTCATTGTCTCCTTGAAGGGATTTTTCACATTCATATCTGATGCAGACATGGTGCTCTGCACATGTTATATTTTTAATGCCTAAAGAAAGAGGTATATGTGTTTGAATGTTAACTGCTGGTGTCGCTTCATCCATTGAGGGCTGCAACAAAACCAAAAGTGGTAGAGAGTCAATCTAGAATTTGGCATCAACCACTTTCCTTTAATCCAACTTTTTCTTTTTTTTTGTGGGTTTGAAACCTCACCCATGTGGAACGTGAGTCACATAAACAAACAGAAAGCACGTAGAGCTGATACTCTGAGAAGAAAGCTGTCCCGAGACGGATCTTCATTCTGCGTTAGGATCTGCTAATGAATATAATCTTTACAATAAGCTCTGAATTTAGTTAGACAGGAATAATACAAGTATTCAGTTTGCTGAAACCAGTTGATCAGTGAACTGATCATGAACTGATGCTGACACCTTGTGGTAGAAACATCTACATGCGCTTTATTACTTATCTGTATGTTAGCTTCTTTAAATCCGTTAAAGATTCAAAAGGATTAATATGTATAGAAGAAGCTTAATGCAGAAACCTCAGACTTACCTCAAATATGCAATAAAGCCAAAACAATTAGTCAAATTGACACGGTTTCAATTTCTCAAACGTGAGTTTTTATTTTTCTATTTGCACTTTGCTGACTTCATCTAGAGAGCTGGGAATCATGTTTTAAACTGTTTTTTAAAATATAGATTAATGGATAAAAATGATCACCAAGTCGTATTATAGTAAGTGCCAATGTCTAGTACAACTTGCAGCAGGTTTTTGTTGTAATTTATTCATTTGGTCAACCCTTAATAGAAACATTCTGCCCGCTTATCAATTCCCATTCAAACGGGGACCTGTTGTTGCAGGACAGATGTGCCCGAGGGGAGTTTCCTGTCCTTCCTGCTTTAGAAAGAAGCATGGAGACTCCAGCTGTCACTGATTCACCTCACCGGGCTCTGATTGCAGGTGGAGGGCCCACCGTATTGCATTGGTGGTAGTCATACTGCTAATCTTTTGTATGGGTTGAGCTGTTGGTTTGGTGGCCTTTGGACACGTTGATGCTGTTGGGTGAATTATTACCCGACTTATTGCTGTCAGGCCTTGTGTGTTGGTGTTTAGCATGTTGTTTTGCTGATTGTGGTTTAAGATGCTTTCACATTTGTCAGACATTTTGAATGCTAGCTGTGTTTCTGCAGCAAAGAACAAGATAATATGTTTGAAAAAAATAAAGAGGAATAAATAGATTTTGGAAATAAATATTTTATTTTTTCCTCTTTCACATGTATTTTTTCTATTTTTACAAGCTGCATTATAGCAAGTTTATTTTAGTAATAATGAAACCAACATATAGAAAGTTTTCAAAAATGTAATCAACACAACAAAATCTCTCAAATATTCAGAAAAACATCAGAGTTCATGCACTCATTATTTGTGCCGACTCTGCACTTTGACGTCTGTGTCTTCCCACAACCGACGTTCACAGTCTTTCTCCTTTTGCTGCGTCGAACATCTTCTTGCGGCCCTCCATGCCCGACATGGCCTCCACATTCTTCCTCCAGTCGCTCACCTCCGCCGTCTTCTCCTGCACAAGCAGAGCAACAACAAGACGTCTCGCGGTTTGCTCTCAACGCATTCTGCTCATTTGCACGCATGACATTTCCACTCTTCATGCAAAAAGCTCTCTTATTGTGTGTTAATTTAATCACGATATCTCGACCCTCGCACGGCTGCTTTTCCTTTTGTTTTGGAGAGCCGAGAAAGGAATAATGTTTCCACAGGCGTCAAGTGCAAATGTGCAACATAAATCATCCCCATGGGAAACGTCTGTGCCCAAGCTGAACGCCGTGTGTGTGATTGAACAAATCGGGGCTGGTGTCTTCTGGCTGAAAGAAACATCTTTTGTACTTTCCCTGAACCCACCTTTTCTGTGTCCTCCTTCTTGACCGATTTGAGATTCGCTCGCAGATCCAGAGAGACCTTGTGTTTGGAACCCAGGAGGGAGCGCAGGATGGCATCCGCAGAGACCCTCACCCTCCTCAGGCTGGGTCTCTTGAACTTCCCCCGCAGGTCCACCACCTTAATGTTCAGGTCTTTGATCTGCGGAGAAGAGAAGGGAAGAAGTCAATCCAGGTCCTTTTTTCTGCAGATGTGATTGTAGAATCAGCTGAATTCTGTTTATCTTTTTGTGGTCGGTGGGGAAACGATCAAAGCTGTTCATTGTCATTTTTTCCATCCGGCTCTACCTCTCTGGTGTTGTGCGAGACTTTGGCTTGAATGTCATAGCGCTCCTCGTCCACCACGTCTATTTTGGCATGCAGCTCTTTGCATAATGCCTTAAAAGAGAACAAGAGGAGGTGGAGGTTCATTTTGGCACCTCTTGAGTGATAAAAAGATCATCATTTCAGGGATTCAGTTATCAAGTATGAACAGCTCTGCGGTCGCTGTGATCTTCCACCTTCAGGTCGTCTAAGGACATGCCAGCGATCTCTATGGGCGGAGTCTTTTCGTCCAGGTAATTTGCCTTCTGCTCCTCTTTTTTTTCCATCTCCTGCTCCAGCTCCTCCTTGGCCCTGGCAAGCAGCAAGCTCTGAAATACCAACCGTTTGATTAATTGTGATGACGCAATCCGTGCAAAACACAATGAGGACTCACCTTCAGCATGAGCTTCCGAGAGGCAGAGATTTTAGATTTTCTCTGCAAAAAAAAAAATACATTTAAAAATATATATATTTTATTGCACCATTTTAGTAGTCCAGGGAGAATCTCATAATAATATGTGCATTTGTTAAATTATTAAATTCCTTAGTGAGTAATGTCTTGCAAAGTCTTACCTCTGGTCTGAAGGAAGCAAAAAGAAAGAGAGATGTAGCGTTAGAGTTTAATTGCATGTCGTAAAAAACCTTTATTGATCTAATCTAAATCAAATCATATTTCAGGATCGGTAAATGCTGGGCAATATTTCAGTACGATAATTTAATTTATTTTATTTAATTTGTCTTTTAAAGGAATCTTCTTGTGATTAAATCATATAATGAGATATCGTGATACACAATAACATTATTAAAAGTGATAAACACACATGATTTAAAATGTTTTAGGTAATATAATAATAATAATGATGATGAAAGTCTGATGATTAGTCTTTATCTGCGTGCACGCTTGTTGTCAAAATATTTATCATATTTCTCCTCTAATTTGACTTGAAGCTATGAATTCAGTTTATTCTCATTAGTTTTCCTTTTGTCAAGTATAAACACCACAAAACAAGATTTCAGAGCCCAGCCCTACTTTCTATAGATAAATCTTTTTTTCTGAAACTGATTCAAAACGAAACGCAGTCCACTTACGCTTTCTCAGGCATCTTGACTATTTCAGTTCCCCCTGGAAGACAAAAATAAAACACCCAAGTGCTCAGCTGTAGGGACCACTTGGGACCCCGATGGGTCTTAACTCTGCTTGCCCGTGTAGTGTTGCATGAATGGAAATATGAAGAGTAGAGTCAAATCGATCTTTCGAAGCTGTTGTCTCATGTTCGCTCCGTCAGATCAAACCCCATCACAGGACCCGATGGAGCGCGGCAGCCTTACCTTTGTGAGTCGATGCTGTGGATGCAGACGGACGCAAAGAGATGGAGGGGACAGCCAGCGAGAATATTTATCTCCCGCTCCCCGTTTCGGCCCTCCTCTTTATCAAAAGGAGACTTAAATAGAAACGCACACACCCACACAAAGGAGAGGGGTGGGTGGTCTCAGGTCGACATTGTGTAATGCTTGTGTTGTGTTGATAAATCAATGCTTTCTGCTTCTTTATATTATGTGCGAGCCTTTTTTTATACACAACTTTCCCATCAGCAGCCAGTTAGTTCTCCATTAGTTTTTCCTCTCACACAAGTACAAACCATTTAAATCTCTACGCTGGATCTTTACACTCTAACGCACACAAGTTTCCTAAATCCTACCCGACAGCTGATGTGTTCAAGCAAACGTGAACCAAACAGCTTGTCTTGTTGCTTAGGTCGATTATATGAGATTTTCTCTGGCTACTTGGCGTGATGTTGGAGACGTGCCCCCCCCCCCCCCGCAGACTGCAGGGCCCCGACAGGGCTGATTAGGATAGTAGCTGCAGGCGATGCTAAGCTGAGGTTTTAAGGCAGGAATGCAGTTTCCAGTATACATTTAGCTAAGGGCCAAAACTAAACATAGACAAAGCGCAGCGCCGTGTGATGCTGCCACTCTTTGAATCGGGGGCCCCGGCTCTCGTACTGTGTGTATGTTATCTGGAGTTTGCTGTTGTGAAGAACGTAAATGCTTAAACACGCGCTCCATCAGGGTCGTGCAACTAACCAGCTCAGTCGTTCATTTCTTCTTCCTGTTCAGGACGCTTTTGAGGAGATTCTGAGGGTTGAACGTTGCGTAGTAGTGACACTCGTTCCCCGGAGAGGTTGACGGGAGATGTAAGTTTCTCAAACATATCTTTTTGTCAACAAAAACACCCCGCGGCGCTAACATTAGCAGAGTACGTTAGCACACCGTCAATTAGCGTCAGCCCTTTTGTGCTGTTTCTTAATCACTTTTAAACCCACCATCCAACACGTTTCCTTTGAAAGCTGAAAGGTCAACTTCCCTGTAGATTAATATTTTGTTTTAGCTGTTATTTAAGGCAGAACAGCTTCACCACACATTGGCATAGATTCTTACTCAAGGGATGAACACCTCCAAAATATATTCCTTCAATAACTTTTGAAGTGAGCTGACGCCGGAGGCCTGTGTTAATATTAATCACACAATCGTCATCATTCTCAAAACTGCCCATGAACTCTTCTGTAGCATCCACAAGGTTTGTTCTCTAACAGGTAACGTATCTGCGTTTACACTGTAAATCATTGAGCTAATAGGAACTCTGTTTAACACATGTGGAGACATGTGTGGCTGCTGGATTGTCTCCTGCTTGCAGAGAAGTTCAGTGGGATAACTGGCGAGCTGTGACCTGCTGGGCCACCAGCCCAGCTATTTATTACACTGTCATGTTTGTATAATGATAATATAATGCGCAATCCCATCAAGGATTCAAGTCGGATTAATTTCTCAGAGCCGTTCTTTTGTTCTCGGCGAGTCAGGACCTCAACGTCCCTGATGCTGATTTGATTTATGACACTGAGATCCAGGCTGTTGCATCGTGGAAGCTGATTATAATTCCTCCGTGTATTTGGCAGCAGGATTAACTAAGTGCTGCGTCTATTTGCTGGACAGTCTCTGGAAAACTGACTCATACATTCCGATGCCTAAAGGACAAAATAGCACTTTTATAGTAAGTGGTTTTTAGTCTTGTAAATGTCCTTTGTGAAATGTAAAAATTAAAAGTATTAGTATCAAAATATAGTGTATCAAAAGCACTCATCATGCAGAAAACCCTTTTCAAATAATATCTTTATTGTCGGCCTGTATAATTTTTTTATGATTAATGATGCAATAGTGCGTTCATCACACAGCCGGTGAAAGTGGAGTTTATTTTAAATGTTCCAAGCAAGCCCATCCGTTTAAAAGTGTAGAAATATTTCCGGTTCATTAAAGAAAAAAATAGACATTATTATAGGGCCCATGTATTCTGCTGGGAGTCAGGAGGGCCCTCTGCTGGGCGAGGGGCTCAATGCAAGTCAAAGAAACTCGTTGTGAATGTAAACAGGTTTCGGAAGTCGTGGGTTTGAACTGGACCCGACTCACACTGACGGACAGACAGCTGCGGGGCCCCTCGGGCCCCGAGCGCCGCCACTCCGTTTGTTCCCCCAAACAACCGCTGGGCTTTTGCTCTCTTTTTTTTAATGCCAATTGGAAAACAAATAACAAGCACGCCCGGAGCCGCCATGATGTCATAGCACCAGGACGGTGAACAGAACAATGGCGTCGGTGTAGAGCGGGCCAGAGCAGCATCACGGGGGCTGTTAGAAAAACTTCCATTGTTTGTTGGTTTGTTTTATGTCTCAGGAAGAAAGCGCCTCTGAAGACGGCGGGGAAAGCTTTATCTCGACTGCAACTGACCGACGTTATTAATCAAACTCAACATTGGCCAAACTTAATGTTACTAAAGTGGAAGTGTCTCTTTTTTTTTGCAGCAAGGGAGCATTTTTTCTTCTTGAGCACATCCGAACACACAGTTAGACTTTAGTTTGAAATACTTGTCATGATGAGCAACGTCATAATCCAGAATCAAATGTAACATACGAAGCAAAATCTGCTGGGTGAAGAACAAGCTGTGAGTTGTGTGCCTCTTTCATTCCTCTTTGCCTTCAGCTGGGGTTAAACGGGCGGATTAAAATGCGCTGGATATCGACGGCGGCGTCAGAGCGATGATGCGAGTCCTCGCTGGGTTCGAGGCCTCGAGCTTCACTGCGAATGAGCCAGAGCTCCGGCACCCTGACCGAAGCCGAACCCTTTGGGACCGAAGTTCTTCGCGTAGCAGCCTGCGGAGGAAATGACAAAGGCTGAAAACATCTGGTTTACACAAGCCACGATGAGACGTGAATGAAGATACACTCTTTGGCAAAAGGTCAAGAGGTGCTGCATCTTGTTGTGGGTCATCTGGAGCAACTTCTTCTGTGCTGCAGGTTGGAGGTCATCCAGATGTGACGTCTCTTATAAAACATCTGCATGCTCTCTAATGCAGTATTGTTGTATTCATGCAATCATTTCCTTCTTTTACAAAGAACCTTCAGAAACAATTTATCACCATTGATGACAATTTCTGAAATATGCAAGCAACATATTTCTGAAGGTCCTGAAACATTATCACATGGTCCCCAATAGTATATAGTTTGTTCTATAAGTTATCAGAAAATAGAGAAAAAGTCGGGTTCTTACTGTCACACAGGAAATAAGAAAATCCACAAATCTTCCTATCCTAAAGATGGAACGAGACAAAGTGGATTAGATTCTCTGCCACACCAGACCTTTGCAGAAGATCTCCCCGTCTCTGTCGGCCAGCGTCGTGGACTCGAGTCCTTTGCCACACTTGGCGCAGCGAAAGCAGCCTTTGTGCCAGGACTGATGAGAGAGCAGAGAGTTCAGCCAGTATGAAAAGAAAAGGACACCAGCTCAAAACCTTGATCACGGCAAACGTGGATCCTTCTTACGTTGCCTCCTCCGACGACCTTCTCGGCCGCGTACACTGTTCTCCCGCATCGAGGACACACGTCCGGGCCTCCTGGTTTCTGGGTGAACTTCGAGGCGTTGGGGTTGGGGTTGTTCGTGGGCCGATGAGGAGCTTGCCTGCGTAGTGATGAAAAACAAAAGGATGTGCGGTGTTTGGCTTTAAGCTGATCTCAACGGGGTCACAAAGGAGGAGGAGGAGGACGCGATGCTTCTCTCACACTTCAGGCTTGATCCCAAGTCCCTCCCCCGTGTCCATACTCAGGGTGCCGGCTCCGCCCCCGAAGCCGTAACCTTTAGGCCCGTATTTCTTGCCATAGCACGACTTGCAGTAGATCTCGTCCACGTGGACAGCCACTGTGGTGCTGTCTAAGTTCTTCTTACAGACCACTTACAACAAGAAAAAAAAAAAAAATTAGAAATTTAAAGCCAATTCTTTCTTTACTCTCACGAGCATCACTACCACAGACGTTTAGCTGTGACGTCTCCTCAAAATATGCGTGACATCTTAAAGAAGCCCACATTGTGCAGCTGGTTGGGATAAAACCCCCCGAGAGGAGGAGTATAAGCACCTTCCTCAGCCAAATAAGGAAGACCAAACCTTTGTCACATGTCTCAACTGGGTCCAAATAAGGACTGAGACGTCTCAGCCAAACGCTGCAGATGCTCACTTTCCCACCCTGGTGCCAAATGCTCTGCATTCCGGCCCCGGCACTTCCAGTGATTCCGGAGTCGGGAAGCAGATTACCTGAGAGCTGTGATACTTACTGCACAGAAAGCAGGACTTGTGCCAGCTCTTCCCCTCGCACTGCACTTCCTCGGCGAAGTAGACGGTTTTCTGGCAGCAGCCGCACTTGTTTCCTCCGCCGAAAGGCATCCTGCGAGCTTTGCAGGGTCAGAGTCAGCTGAGTTCATTTTTTCATTCACTGTATACACAACGCCTGTTCTCTGGAGTTCAGTGGTGAGATCAGTGTGCAACCACTGAGGCTACATGCAACAATACCTATAAAAGGAGAGGCTGCAGTTTGCCGCATGCGGCTCGATCTTTTCCTTCAGAGGACTGAAGGGACGTTCATCCCCGATTGTAAAATGCAAATTTTAGCTGCGGCGCTGCTCAGATAGCACGGTGCTGTATTATCAGCAGTGTAGAGCCAGAATTTCTTAAGTCTTTTTATCGCCACGACTGCACGTGACGAGGGTCGTCATCCCTCGGTAAAAGTCCCCAATCGCCCAGATTGCTCTGGATGAATCAAGCATGTTAACGGTCGTGCCGTCAGACAACCCGACACGCTACCATACAGATGTTCTACACTCATGTGACCCTTTAGAAAATAATAAATAAAAAACCCAGTTCGGGGATAATTTCCGTGCAGCCTCCAGGTACGACGACAGGATCACCACGGAGCTTTTTGTGCCACGGCCCCTTTTTAAGGTTGTATCTCATCTGAGGCCTTTCCTGATTTTAGAAACCGTTTTTATCAAAGACGACTGGAGGATATTTTACAGTCGGGGATCGTTTTATAGGGATTTAAATAAAATGTAACTTTCTCTTATGTGCTGCTCATGTTCCATTGATTCAACCAATATGACCCCTAGTAAAAAATCGTCACACACTAACATTACATTTGTTTACATGTCTAGATACAAACAAAGTTTTTTTCTGTATTGTCATAAGTAAAACGAACCTACCTGTGAGCGAGGTGACAGGTTGATGATCCCTCTGTGCTTCAGGGAAAGAGTGAGTTGGGGAGAGACACTGGTCGGAGGAGGAGAGGCAGTGGGAGGCTGAGAGGACGCCAGTCTGAACCGAGGGAGGAGCGTGACACAGAGAGGGAGTGGGGGGGGGGGAGAGGGACATGAAGGGAGGAGACGCTGGAGAAAGTATTCATTGATGGCGATGTTGGGAATCTGTTGGGGACCTAAATTGAATATTGTTCTTATTTTGCACTGAAAGCTCAGCCTGTCACACTCGGTTTGTTTTAGAAACAACAATGCATTGCACAGTTCATAAATGTTGTTATTAGGGACTTTATAGCCACGTACTGACCAACCATCAAAAGGGAAACCTTGTATTGCTGCTGTTCGACCACACCTCGGAGCTCCCCGCTCACTTTTATTTCTCTTTGAAATCAAACCGCTCTGTGAAAGCTGTTTAGGAATGAACCCAAAGTGAAGTCTCATCCAACTGTGACATCATTCATTCATTCATCTGTCTGGTATCTAACGAGTGAGACGCATGACTGGCGGCATTGAGGGCAGATGACTGATTTGGCGAGTCAAGAGCATTCCGTTGTTTAAGACCAAAAACCACTTTGTTGCTTTGTAGCTCAGTTTGGCCGTCGTTGTACGGCTGTATTTTCTTAACATTGGTGGAACCTGAGGGAGGAAAAGACTTGCAGTTCCTACATTTCAAATCTTGTCCAAATATGGACCTTGTTGAAAACTGACACGGCTTTAATGGAGTATGTGCCACAAACATGGAGCCTTGTTCTGATCAGCCAGAGGGGAAGTAACCTTTTATTTCATAATAACAACGATATCTGTTTGAGATTCTTGCTCTTAACCACATCTGACATTTTCTCACGACTTGTCTGCAGGGGGGTGTGAACATCGTTTGTTGGACCAGTGTGCTCCCTTCTGATTCACTTCGGTGTCTCCGACAGCCGTTAATAAAACGGAGAGCTTTTCGCCGTGACATCGAGAGCGGACGTCCTCGTTATTGTGTCCACTTTGAGGAGAAAGGCCCTACAAGGGCCGTGTTGAGAGCTCACTGGATCACGCAGTGCATGTGTTGGCGTCAACGGGGCAATCACACGTCTGCATCGCTAGTAATGTTAACCTGACACGCGTTTAACGTGTTTCTGACATCTCATCCAAAGTGAATGACCATTTGTATAATAAGAAATTAGCCGTGGGATTTCTTTGTGTTAACTTTTTGCTTGCATGGACTGGTGAGGCTTTCAATGTTCAATTATTTCATTTCAATTTCATTCCACTGAATGTGGTGTAATTCAGTCACTGCGATATTATTAATTCGTTGCTTTTGCCGGTGCGTGACACAGTGGCAACAGCTTCTGCACGGAGAGCAGCGTTGGCATTTTACTGGTCGCCTCCTCCGCCGTGACATTCAACAATTGGGCGAGCGGGTGGAGGGGTTAGGGGAGGGGGGGTCACTGTCACTCGCGCTTTACTAGATCACATCCCACATGTGACCTCTGCGTTGTGAGGGGTGGCTGGCTGCCTGGTTACCGTAACTAAGAAGTTAAGAAGGTAAAAAAATCGGATGTACGGGCGCTTGCGGCTGGGCTCAGATGTCTCCTACAGAAGAGCGCGCCGTGGAAAGGTGAAACTGATAAGGAGACCCAAGGTCGATACGAGGAAAGAAGTAAGAGCCAGAAGAGAGTGATGCCGCTCGGTCCGCCCGCCCGCCCTCCCTCCCTCTCGCCGAGCCCTGCAGGCTCCTCAACATCACACGAACAGACAATGATGAACTCAAGAAGCCTATTTATAGATTGGCCGACACCAGCCCTCTGTTTCTGCTCTGTGGACGTCCGCCGTTGTTGTGCATGTGCACATGTGATTATGCTCATGACAGGGAGGGAGAAGAGAGGAGAGGAGTGACAGAGACTCAGTGGAGTTAATCCAGAGGAAGGGGCGGAGGAGGAGGAGAGGATAAGAGGCAGGGACGAGGCTTTGAACCATCCTTCAGGCTACAGAGGAGTGCTGATTGCTTGTTGGAGTCTCATACAGGAATTCAGCCCTGTCTTTTTTCTTTTTTTTTCTTTGCATTTGACCTGAGTGGAAGCCAGGACTCCTCCCGTGCAAATGATCTCCCCTTTGGCAGCGTTTTTTTTCACAGAAGCTTTGCCAGGTTCTACGGTGAGGAGGAAGAGCTGGAGGAGGTGAGTTGACTTCATGTGTTTGAAGAGCAACCAGCCGTCACCACGTTGGTGTATTTGGCTGTTTGCATGCCGGCGCTTAGTGTTAAAGCCACTGCGGCTGATGCGTTCTGCTTTGGCTTATGCTCTCTCTCTCTCTCTGTTTTATTATTCCAGAATAATCTAACGGAGCTTCATTTGGCAATGTTTAAGTCCATGTAATTGTTGGGGGTTTAACTTTAATGTGGAGCTGCAACGATTAGTTAATTAATGGATCTACAGGAGATTAATCACCACTTATCATTCCAGTAAAAAGGCAAATAATATTTGCTTAATATAATGACCTTTGACATGAAACCATTTAATCTCAGTCTTCAGACTCACGCCTAATAAAAACAAGATATTGAACTCGGGCTTTGAGAAAACTTTTTTCTGACCTTTTATGGACCAATCAATGAATTAAGAAATGTATCAACAGTAAAAATTAACCAAAGAAATATAATTTTGTATTAATATGTGAATGTTGGATTATTTGGTCAACAACCTAATTAAATTATCAGTAAAGCTAACGTTGATTCTACAGTCCAAGCTGCATGGGAACATCAAAGCAACACAAACATATTTGTAATATTTCACATCCCATTATCCGTTCATCCAATAAACATCACTGGATGCATTTCAGGAGGGGGGCTGGGGGGGAGGGGAGGGGGGGGGTAATTGTCTTAATGGCACAGCGAGATCCAACAAGCAGCAGTTGTCGATGTTTTAATGTGCTCTCTCTCTGCTCCGCTGCACGCTTCCACTTGCAGCCAGAGGCGAAGAGATGCAGTTTCCCGAATTAGTCGGTAGAGGTCCCGTACGGGGAGAGATTATGTTTGAGTGATGCACAGACACACCCTGATTTATTTTTCCCTTCGCGGCTGTCTCTCTGGCGTGCTCTTCTCACTGAAGGCCGCGCTGAAGGGTGATGAGGTTTATCTACTGAAGCAGAACGCGCAGAGCGCATTGGAGGGTGAAGCGCACTGTTAATAGGCAGTGAGGGTGCAGTCGGCTCACTCGGGCCGCTTGTACCTGCGTGTGAACCCACTCATTCTTTATCTCGGCACCTTTTAATTAAGCTGCAATTATGTGCGAGAGATGTAATAATGCAGATAGGAATGTGTATTCTTCAAGGTCAGACAGATAGTTTGCAGTGTGTGTGTGTGTTTGCAGATTAACTGCACATTTCAGAGTATTTCTGCGTCCAGCCAATGCACATCTTTGACTGTAATCCTCACTTATCGGCTGTCTGTGACTCAACACGGGCTCTAATTTCCAAACTGCCTCCAGTCTTTAATCTCACAACATGAGCTCCTGCAGAGCGATTTAACCGCAAGCCGAGGCAATTTGCTTGAATTTGCAAAAGGGGAATATAGCGTGACCCGGCATCAGATCCACACACGTAGCCATGTATCCTCACACCAGCGTGCACGTTGTTTCACTGCTCTCTGCGCACTCTAAGACAACGGTCACATGTCCTTGGCCTCCCCAAATTCTCACCTTGTAGTGCGATTGCGAGTAATTTTCTTCATAACACACGGGAGGAGGGGTTGTCTTCTTCACAGTTGTTAATATCCACCTCAGAGATTATAAGAGGGGAAAAGCGTGTGTCTGCCCACGCTGTCACAACATCTCCATCCAGTCGTTCTTTTTTTTTCCCGGGCTGACACCTCTGATTCGGCTTCTTTTGGCCCAGATTCCCACCGAGGGGAGCCTGCGCCCCTGCAGGCACACACAGACTACAAACGTGCAGTGACAATTCAAATCAGGTCTGGTTCACTGGGCCTGGCTGTGACTCAGGACACTGAGCACCAAGCGGAAACGGTGCATACGCAATCCGCCCCCCTCCGTCACAGCGGGAGAGCGAGAGAGATGATGTCGTTTTATGGGTGTTTCACCAGGTGTGTGTCTTAGCTCGGAGCAACTTGGCAGTGGAACAGTGCCAGGTTCCATTTGCAAGTCAAAGAGAGAGAGGGAGAGAGACCATGGGAGAGGGAGAGAGAGAGAGAGAGAGCGAGAGTCGGCTGAGTATTCCGATCCACAGGCACCAACTGCAGCACGGGGTCTGTCGGGAGCATTGTTATGCAAGCAGTGAGGGAGCAGTCCCACTTTGATCCAGGCATCGGACGGAGGCTGGGATGCTGCGGCGCCGCACGCTGTTTGAGCTGCTGTTCTGTCAAGCAGCGTAACGCACGGAGCAGCTCTCCGTACTCTGCAGAGTGGGAACGTGGGAGGGACGGACTGATGGAAGCCCCGCTCCTCACTCAGCTTCCATTGCACTTGTGAATACTAAGTTTCTATCAACCACATTTTAGGTAAGTTTGAATTCCTGGTTGAATAGTGAGAATGTGTTATTCTATGGTTGACTGATGAGCAGCATGCAGCTGCGCCGTTACACTTCTAATTAAATGGACTTGAAATCATTTTTATTGATCTGACCTTTCCATTCCCTCTGATGACCTTATCGGCCAAAAAAAATCAGACAGGCGAGTATCCCACAAATTGCATTATACTGTTGTGAAAGACCTGGGGGTTGACTGGGATATATTGCATCATATGTGTGACTGCAGTCCGACACAGAGAGGCCAGAGGGAAGCAGGACTCCGTTTATGGCTGCTGAACTGAATCCTGCAAAGACTTTGTCCCGCGCTCGACTTTGATTGTCCCTGCCGGTAACTGGGAGTGGGAGTCATGTGCCCAGTAATTGTCTGGGATGTACTGCTGAATCATACCAGTGTGTGTGTGTGTGTGTGTGTGCTCTGGGCTACCACTGCTTTCGGCTCATTATTCACACTACTTATCTCCTATAGCGAGATACGGGGATCATACATGTGTTGCTGAGTCATCAAAGACTGGAGTGTTTTAAAAAATGTGCCGTTTGATTTTTCAATAAAATACCTGCTTTTGCAGATATTCATCAAAATAATACATTTTTTAACCCTAATCTGGCAGAAGATATATACGTTAAAGCTTCCTGCTCTAAGCACTATTTTGTATTAACAGTTTATATCATTGCAATTTGTGTTCCCATGGTGGCGACCAAAACAGAACGAAAAGAATTTGGATTAAATTTCATTGGGTGACCAGAAATGCAACTCCAAATGAACAATTCTGATGCTAAATCAGCAGCAGCTGTTTGCTAACATATAAACTATATATTTGAATAATGTTTACTTGTTCCGCTGCCAGCAAATGGTCGAAAAATCAACTTGAGAGGGAATTTCAGAGGATCCCTGCGCTCGATAACCTTCTGGGAACCATAAATATCCGTCAAAATATTCCCGTCCGTCTAGCAGATATTTATCAGTACATTTGTATGTGTATAGAATGTAAAGAAATCAATTCAAATGCATTCAAATTCTACAACGGGTACTTGACTATCCATAACACTTCACTGTGGTTGGTGCTTTAAAGTATTTAGTTCAATACCCCGCCCTCATAAATTCTAAAAGAAATCCAGACCATAACGTAATTCAATTCTAGATAGGGAGTGCACGCATGGCTATGGGCATACCACTAATGGCGGGTGATGTCATTCCCATTATAGAGGATCTGTTTTGTGTGCAACTTGCTGCCCTTTTGAACTTTACTTACTTCAGTGTCACTCTGGATGACGATGTAGACAACACAGAAATAGTGTCTTGGGGTAAAACAAACACTATCACGGTGGTGTCCAAATGCTACCGAGGGCATCATGTGCTCCCCTTTCATTTCCAAGACACTTTCAGAAGCTCTGCATACATGAAACAGATGCTTTGTTGACTCCTTCTCATGAGAGAAGTACCACTAAGAGCTTTGTGGTCACGTCGCACGACTGCGCCGTAAATCAAGCGCTGATTTTAAATTACACGTATCAAAATGATTATTATGGTTATAATATTATAGGGCGTGCATGCACATGGGTTCCATGATGCTCTGTTCTCAAATGCCAGAGAGCATCATTTTCAAAATGCGAGCTTTGTTTCCTTGTAAATGCCACGTCTCAGTGTGTCCCCATTCCAAGTGTCTCCTTGTGTGTGTGTGTGTGTGTGTGTGTGTGGTTTGTGTTTTTTGGAGAGTCTGGTCTTGTCCACGGACACGCTCCAGCTAACCCGAAAGGACAGACTCAGAAAAAAACCCTGATTCATATTTTATGTGTTTCTCACGAAGCTGTTATACAATGTTTGAGTGTTCAGAGCAGAGATTTGTCGGATTGGATACGAAGACACGAGACAAGACGAAGGGGACCGCTCCCTTGTGCAGAGGTGCAGAAGTCTGCCTTCATTTCTGAGTTGTGATGTTTCGAGTCTGTGACGGCTGCCGGAGGCCATGATGTCAAACATGAACGCTTTTGGGAAAGAATGTCAGGCCGGTTTCATGCTGGTGTAGTTAAAAAAACTAAACATTTTAGTTGCTAATGAAGTGTTGTCAAATCTAAGGTGTTTGTCTTGTAATTTGTACAAAAAAATGAAATAGATAATTAAATGCATGTTTCTATCGGTCCTCCTATATAAAAATGATTCATACTTGGGTTTGATACGATACACTATATAACTTTAGAGAAATTGTCTTCAGTCTCCAGGTCATATCTTTTGATTGACACATCGCAGACAACTGCACCTCCTTGGAGAACTGACATTTGAGTTCGGACCCCCCCCCCCCCCTCGGGACCTGAAGCTGAGGCTGAACCACACATTGATGGAAGGACACACGGGGCTCTTGGTGATACCACTGCTTGGACGAACTCGGAGAGAGAGGCTGCATGCGAATCCTTTCACAATACATGGATGCCATTTAGTTCGATCTGCGGCGGCCATATTGGACCTCCTCTGTGGTCGGTGTGTCTGCACAGCTGACTTTGATTTAAGTTCAACCGGCTCAGAACCTTTCAGGGAGGATAAACATAGCTTTGAAATCCAGGTATGGACAGTCATGTCGTGGAGGAAATCTTCACGGAGACCGAGTTATGTGACAATAGGTCATGGATTTTACATTTGTTTCATGGGAAATCGTTGCATGCTGGGTTGAAATGCATTTAATGTGACTGCTGGTTTGCGTCCGCAGCACGTAACAACTCACTTCCTAAAAGCAAGTCTGATAGATGTAGATGATGCAGACAGACGGAGAGGGTCAGCATTTCAGTGGGTCAGTCTTGGCTCTGCAGCGTTACAGACTGAGCTCAGTGGTGCCACTGAGCGCCATATGCACGCAGGTTTTCACTCCAACCGTTTAAACAGGTTTCACAAATGAATTCCTCTCCTTCTGGCTGGAGATGGGTGCATACGGTGCAGCGAATGGGAGCCTGCGCGTCTGCCCTGCGTGTAGTTGTGCTGCAGCAGCCGGCATGTAGAACTGTTTCCCGTCTTCATCGATTAGAAATGAAAAATGTACGCGCCGGCGCCCCGGCTGGCTCTCGAGACGAGCCGACAGCTTTCGGAAACGAGAGGAGCAGATGCTCCGTGTGTCACAATGACTCCTATCTGACGCTGCCACGTAGAACATGTGTGTACACGTAGGTCGTCATGGTGTTCATCAAAAACACGGTGTCTACGGTTGAACACGTGCCACATTTTGCTACGTTTCACTTTGAAATACTGCGTGTAAAGTTCAAGCTTTCAAATATTTAAAATAATAGAAATGAACAATGAAATTCCTGGAAAGGTGTGATTTCACCACGTTTTAAGGGGCATACATTGGTAAGAATGTGATGATATAGAATGTATCACAAAGCAGGGGTTAGAATTCATTATATTGATGTAATTTTAGGGAAACTGTTGACTTTTTTGATGAAACCTGAGACGTGGGATCTGCATCAGCATATATAAAAGTCAAGGTAACATAACACAGAGAGGACGCTTTTTACCAGTTAAATATTTGAATGAGTTGATCGTTGTGTGTAATCTATTATTAAAAGTCCTATCCGTGTCACAAAACCATATATTTCAATACTTAATAATGAGGATGTTTTCCTCACCCTTAAGTTTGCGTCTCATCCACCAAAAATATGGTCTAAAAATATGTTAAGATGTGCAGAACATAATGGGCAGTTTGCTTATTGCATATAATTTATTACTTGACATTAATATTCTCACTATAAACAAACAACATACAGTCATGTGCTGTGGAGCGAGGAAATACATGAATAATAGTGAATTTACATCATTATAAGTTTACAAGTGAACCAGTTGTTGTTAGTAGTGTGGCCTTGACACACATAGTCATTATATCTGCATCAATGATGATTATTTATTAAAAGTCTGCCTTTTTATTTGTAACTAATACAGAAATAATTCCAGCGGAAGTTTTCTGAAACTTTGAAAACTCATTTGTTAAAGAAATTACGTTTGCCTGACAACTTGATCATTTGCCAAAAACTAATCACGATTCACCGGAAATTAATCTAGAAATTAATCCCTCTTTTAGTCTTTCAATATGAAAATGTCCTTTTTCTTCTTTCTTGGGGGCTTCAAGGATGAAAGTGAAGAATCGTGTTTTATTCTCTTATGCATGAACTGGATTACTTGTACTATTTTAGGAGCTGTTTCTGCAGAGTTTGGTTCCTTTTTGAGTGCACGTCCAACGCACTTCTCTTTTTTTTAACCTGTCCTAATGACCCAGTTCGCGAAACTGAAGGTCCACCACAGACCACTGCCCACACTTTGACTCCTCAAGGCACCGCAGTTAGCTGCGAGGACCGACCCGCTGTTCCTACGTGAGCTGCAGTTTGCTTCAGAGAACTGTGCCGGTTGCATAACGGCAGCACTACTGCAGAGGCATCGCTGTGCATGAGGGAGGCCACGAAACGACATGCTGTGGTGCTCATCATCCCTTTTTCTCATGCTTCTGGGGCAACTTGTCTACTTTTGTTTCCAGGTTGAAAGAAATAATTGATGCAGCAATGCAACCTGGAATATTATATGTGGAAGGCCTCATTGACCCTGTGGAGCTTCAAGGCTGCAGACACTGCCAGTTTAAAAGGCTTCTGAAAAGTTAGAATTGGAATATGGCTCCTCTAGGCTTGTGTTTCCTTTAAAAAGAGAATCAGGTCACTGCATGATTGAGTCTGTGCAATAGCTTGAAGCAAAACAAGCAAAAGTCTTCAAAGCAACCATACCGAACGCAAACCATGTTACTTGTTAATCAATTTGAAGTTGGCACTAAAAAACATGTAGTGGTGACACTAAACATAGAAAGCGTATAATTTGTGCCCGAAGCCTGCTGTTTGTGACTATTAAAAATACTTTAATTTCTGGTTAGTAGGGAGGTTTTTATTGATTTGGCCTTTGAGACCCTGACACTACCTGACCTTTTTGTTGCTTTATTTTCAGTTCACTCAATATATGTCACAGCTACTGAAGCTATTGTTCGTTTTGTTTCACCATTTCCAATTATAATCCATTCTGCTTGTCTACCCCTGGGCATCCTATTTAGGCCGTAATAAAATATGTCATCATTTAAAATGTTGAAGGTGTTTGTATGAACCAACTGTCCAACAAACTTTCACAGAAGAAAGTTGGGAGAAGATTAAAAAACATCCTTTCAACGAAGAAGAGCCTTCAATGTGTTCTTCTTTGAATGGAGTACAATAACTTGGTTGTTTTAAACAGTCGCCTCTCTGTGTTGTCTCATTCTCATCGGAGCCACGCCCACAGCCCTAGTAGCCCCTCCCACCCTGCTGATTGGTGCGAGCTCTGGCTCAAGGACAAACATTAGTTTCGATCATTCATAATTAATATATGCCATTCAGTGACATGCGGTCAATGGAGGCAGGGGAGGTGGTGCCTCCCCTTGTGTCATTGTGAAATGTGAAAAAATATGATTAAAAAAATATGACAAATTGCCATTACATCACTAATTTGGGGTAAAGAGGTATGTCACTGCATTGGACTTGGCCATGTTCAATAACTTTGCTCTATCTCTAGCCTTCGGTGTTCTCCAACACAGCTGCCTGAAGCTGTACCATTATTCAGGGTGTCGATGACGTCATGGCATCACTGGCCAAGTACAAATCCCTGAGATTAACTCGGCCGCCTAAGTGCCCGCTCTAATCTCACCACAGTGGGCTTTAATGGAAAAGACTATGTCAGTATTTAATGGTTTTATGGTAATCTTGATATTTAACTTGAAAACAAAAGAAGTCACATTTGTAGGCAGTGGCATAACAGAAAAACGCAGTGGAAGCACACTGCAGGGGAATGCTGCTGCAGAGAGCTGTAATGGTATTGCAAGGAGTGACGATACTACGGATACTATTATGGATGTTGCAGAGACAATGCAATCTGGAAAGAATCTTCCCCGGGAAATGCACCATGAAAAAAAAAACCCTGCTGTTGTTCAAAGTGTGAAAGTACAGTGATGCCTTGGTTGATACCCAGGTGACATTAGCATGACAATGTTCACATGTTGATATTCATCAGGTATCACATTCACCAACTTTGCCATGTTGGTTCAGCATGTCAGCTTTCAATCATTAAACACTGAAAATAACGTATAGTTTAGTTTGGACACATGTGCATACCCACTAGTATAAGCAAACAATACAAACAATATTGATAAGGTTGGGGATAAAGTCAGGTGACCACTTGCATGTTTATCTGCACATGTGAATGCGTCCTTGTGTGACCTCAGTTCACGTCTCCCGCTAGGAGAGCAGGAAGCGTTGACAATCAGGAAATCTGGGACTTGATGCGGCTATATTTAAAAATGAGATCAGGCCTCTTGTAAAACTAGATAGTACGGCAGTAATGAAAAAAAATTGAATCACGGAGATTACAATGGACTCGTTCATCTCGATTATCTGCCGGTGCTCAGTTGGAATGGAGAGAAACTGGAGCCCCGAAGAAACCGAACCCGCGGATCCCAATTCAGCTCAGTGAAGTATCTGCAAGTGAACGGAAACATTCACACATTTCATAAGGTGCCACCCCGCGAGATGGCAATTGGCCACTAATTACAGACGTTGTTAACGACCCGCAGAGTGATGATGACCCTCCGATTAGGGTCACCTCCATTTGAAGTCATTCATATTCCCTAAATGGGCCCATTGCATTCAGGAAATGGACTGGTCTGCTTTCTCGTGAGTGTATTCATCAGACTCTTGCAGCCTTCAACGGAGGAAAGCGGTCCCTCTCCAACATGCTTTTGGTCAGTACGAGTATCTTTAGTCTGGCCCTCGGGCTGATTATAGGTTTGGAGAACTGGGGCACTTTTAGCTCATCGCTTTGCTCCCTGGCTTGAAGCTTTGATGATGGCTCGCTGAAAAAAAGTCTGGTTCAAACACAAAGCCCGGGGGGGAAAAGGAAGCATAATATCACCAGAGAAAGTTTAAACCATGAGTCACAAATAATAATTAATTTTATTCATGATTGGTAAGAGGTGAAAACAAGTGTTTTCTAAGAGTTTTTGGAACTGGAGCTTCCCCTCACTGGCTTGTTGGTGCTCAGCATCGATTGCCCCCGCTCACTTTAAAGCAGCACGTGGGTGTAAATGATATTACTGTAAAGTGCATCGTTCTGTTGAGTGTAGCTTGTCCCTGCAGAGGGAACGTTGGTCTGCAGCGCGCCGCTGTCTTCTTATTGTCTCCCAGCTGAGGACTGAGTAAACCCGGACACTTATTTACTCAGGTAAGAGAAAACACCCTCAAGGTGTAGTTTTTGATTCAATTCAAGCTGGTATTGTTTTCACCTGGGTGTGTCGGTCGCCATGGCAAAATGTGGTCCCCGAGACGCCACAGAGGCGGGTTTGAGCGCTTCACATCTCTGTGGGAGGGATTTTGTGTTTTGTATTCGGTCACGTTACCTTAGACGGCCCCTTTGTGATCGTCCAGCAACTCAAAGCGCCGTGCAGAACTGGTCAACATTCCTTCATCACACACATTCATACACTGACTGGTGGCACAGGCAGCCAGACGCGCCAACTCTCACACCTCGGACGTTAGGTGTGGTATGGGGTGGGGGTTGAAAAATATTAGATACAATCAGTATCAGTTTTATCGGATATCTTTGTAATCCTTTGGGTGTGGAGACACAGACCATCGAGACACTGTACTAAAGTACTTTGAAGTAGCAAAAGAATGTGAAAGAAGACAAGAATGTTCAAATGCATGAAGGAGTAATCCTTAAATAATCACTGGTAGGTTTTGTTGAGGATGCAACATGCTGGATATGCATTCAGGGTAGAAGTTGTATCTGTTAACCAACAACTGATTACCAGTAAAGTTTCCACATAGTCACTAATTATCGTCACTAACTATCTACTGTCCGTTATCGGCGTCGGATGCGGGATGAGGTGGCGGATTTTGGGGTGGGGGGAAGCCCCCCACCTCTTCGGTGGAGAGGCGGTGACTGCGGGGGGCCTCGAGGGGTGTAGGGGGGGGCAGCCGGCGTTGGCAGGGCCTGAAAGGAGCTGCATGTGCCAAGTGGTGTCAGGCCGCCGGCGGCTCTCGCAGCCCGCCTCACGCTGGAGGTCGTGGCGAGAGGACCGGGAACACATTAGGAAAAGCTGTTGAAACACATGGCGTCCCCTGGAGATGCAAGTAACGCTTTGATTGGTTTGATGCTGCATGTTTGATTATTTTTAATCTTATTTTAAATACGGAATAATTGAAGCATTGGTTTCTTTTTATCCTCATTCAACCGTTTTTGTGTTCCTCTTAACCCTTTGATCACTTCCTCACTTAAGAGTGCTCCCAAACCACATTGATGGAAGAGTTATGTGCACTTTCTTGATCACAGTGTTTCTGCCAGGCGATAAATCTGAAGTGACGGCTAGTCCCGGTTCTCAGACATCTTGGTCACTTTGATGTTCTTTCCATCTTGCTTGCATCCACATTTAGTCGGTCAGCACCTCTGTGGTTAGAAACCTCTTCTCTGTGAGCCAGACGTCCTGGAATGCACAGCTGCTATACAGTATTTTCATCAGTTTAAAGATGAAATGATGGCTTGTTATCCATCATGGATGAATAGATGTCCACAGGCTCCCACGACTATATGGAAACCTGCAAACCACACCCTTCATTCGCCCAACCCATATAGAGCATTTCACCGAGAGCTCGTTATCTACACGTTAGATTTTCTAAGAGTTACATTTATAAAAAAAAATCATATTTGGAGATTCTGTCTCTCTCTTTCTTTCCCGTCCAGGCCTCGATCTCACTGACTGTCACCGACCATGAGCGGGGGGGTGAACGTCAAAGTCATACCTCAGAGTCAGAGCGACGCAGGCGTCGGCTCGAGTCTGCCTCTACCCCGAAGCATGGTGCCGCTTTCCAAGGTGGATGCCAAACAGCAATACGGCGCCGCCCCCGATCCGACGGGACAGCGTCAACATGCAGCCGGACGACAGGCGCCTTCCTTCTCCTCCTCTCCCGTGTCCTCGGGTCCCGCAGAGCTGCTGAGAGGTGCCGCGTTAAAGAACCACCTGCTGCAGCAGAAGACCGCCTTGTACTCCCCCAGAGGCCCGGCGGCTACGGAGCGGACTGATGGAACCTGCTCGGCCTACAGCAGCCCCCGGATACCAAAGAGGGAGGTCAGACGCTCCAAGGACACGCTGGACCTCCGGGCCGGCACGCTGAGCCAGGCGGCTGTGCGAGACCTCCAGTTGAGACGGACCACCAACAAGAACTGGACCTTTGGAAAATACCGCCTGAAGAGTGTGGACAACGCAGCCGAGGGGGACGCCTTGTGTCGGCTCTCTGCTAGTGTGTCCCAGCCGGGACACGGAAGAGGACGTCTCTTTTGTACCAAAGGTGCAAATGGAAACGAGCTACCCGGTGTGTCGACCTCTGAGATGGGCGATATCCAAAAAGAGGTGAGGAACAGTTCCTACCAGCACCTGGGAGCTTCAGAAAGAGGCGTGTCCAGCAGAAAACCAAAATCTTCTTATCACACATTCAACATTCCACGCCGAGGGAGTGAGCCAGGACAAGTCAACGCGGCCGCCGTCGCTTCCTTCCGGTTCAGGTGAGGGCAGTTTTTTGCCTATTTCACAAGGGAAGATGAGCACCAACTGCAGTTTGCGTTAAGGACACTTAGAATGTAATCATCTCAGGGTGTGTCTCATCATCTCTGAGAATTTGCCTTTTTTAGTAGCACCTCATTGCAACTGAATATGTGCTTTTTGTTCCTTTCGTTCCCTGAAGGTTTCAGGTCCATGAGGACGCCGACCCCGCCCTGGATGACCTCAGTGACTGTTCCTCGGACTCCATGGAGGTCTGCTGCGACGAGTTCGGTGAGCTTCTTTGAATCTCCTCCCGTTGATGTAGACTCACCTGAATCAGTGGTTCGTCACCTGGGTGTCGCCATGTAGTGTTGCAAGATGATGGGATGGATTTTTAAGGAAGAAATGTCTTCTTTCTTATGAAATGCTGACCGTCCTCTGACATGATTCTTCAGTCCTTTGAAGAAGGCTGGTTGCATCAGATTACTCATCTATGTCTCTTTGCTCCCTGTCATTTCGTTCCCTTTGACAAAATATTTCATCTCAGACGTGCAGTATGACAGCAGGTTTCAAGCCAAAAACCGCTTTAGTAAACCTTGAAAAGAACCTCTGATGAATCAGGATGATATCTTCAATCTTTAAAAAAAAAAAGATTAGGCTGTCCATAAAGTTTAATAATTTCGCCTCTGTTCCTATGAAGCACTAATCCTCCACTGTGTTGTCGGGGAAAAGTTTCTCATATCTCGCAAACAGCAAACGTTTTGACTGAGTTCACGCCGTTCAACCCACTTTTTCCAGTGTAACGCGGCATCCCGTAACGCCCCGAGCTTTAATACGGCCGAATGTTGACACTGGACTGTTCAGCGTGGCAGTTCTTCTCACCCGAGCTGCTGCCACCTCTTCATGATGTATGTACCACCCGTTGCGTGCATCGGGATTTCCCCTCTTTCTCCGTGTGCATGTGGGAGAACACAGACCCTTGGCGGAGAAAAACGATTCTCAAATCACGCCCTTAATGCGGAATGCGATGATGTTCACGTCATTCCTGTCAGTGCGGTGTTGAACATTAAAAGTAAGGTGTTTTTATTCTGCTGCCTGCAACAACATCTGTCGCTAAGAGACTGACATACAAACATGACGTGCTCACACAAACATGCATGCTCTGTATGGGCCTTGAAGGCTGCTCACCGCCAGCAGATACAACCACAACTAGTCAATCAATCAGTGGTAATTAAAGAGAGATTACATAAGTAAAGACCTACTAAATAAGTGATATTGATTTAAGTAAGTAGGCAGACCCCATTGACTTTAGCGTTACAGCTGCCGCCACCAGACAGAATTACTGCTTTAACATGTTTGTTGTCTGAATTCATGTCAGGAGATTTGTAGTTTTTCCAGAGGCCTCACCATGTTGAAACTTACCAAAAAAAAAAACAATAAGTGACATCATGCTTTCACTAATTCTAATCTGTTGAGCAAATAGAGCAAAGGCGAAAACTCTACAGCCATGCAAACGGCTCAGTGAGGCTGGACACAGCAGTGCTTTGGGCTAAATGCCAACAGCAGGTATTATATTAACTATGTTAATCATCTTAGTAGCGTGTGATTTGGTGAGATTATCCTTCGACACAGAGTATAGCTGTTGAGATTAATATTCAACATGATTTGATGATGGAACCAGACAAAAAGGTTCAGGGATAACCAACTTATTACTCTTATTAGACCATGAATGTGCAGACTCATTTATGTGGCAACTCCTCGGGTTATAGAGACATTTTAACCACATGGTGGGGTCAGAGCGTATTTCAGCGGCTCACTCAAACAATGGGATTGGATTTATCCTCTGTGGACCATGAATGCCTGTAACGCTGTTCAACTACATTTGCCTGCCACTACATTTTTTCAGACTATTCATTCATCATCAAAATGTTGGACTGTCGGGATGGTCAGAGATTGTTCCACGTATTGACAAACTAGATTTTGATTATTTCTAGTTTCCATTCATTTCTCAAAATGGAGCCCTCCCATTATCCCAGCAGCGTAATGTTCAAAGCCGAAATCACTGGGCTGCATCACTTTACAAGGCATTTAACCAAATGTCTGATATATTTAGCTGCGGATTACGCAACATTTTCTTTTAGAAATGACCTCATGTAATTGTAGCATGCTTTTCTAAACCCCTCTGCCTGAGCTCTTAATTACCATGATGACTGAGAGGGGTAAGAGCCTCCAGCCCCCCTCCTCTGGGAGAGACGAGACAAGAGACTGAGTGGTCCTCGGCTGAGGGTGGACAGATGCAGGACTGGGAGATGGAGTGATGTGAGAGGATCGGCTTTCACCTCCTGTCTGGGAGTTCCTCCCCTCCGTCCGTCCGCCGGACGGACCTGAGGGTCGCTTAAATTCAGTTTTTGACCGTAGAGCACAAAGATGTGTCTCCGTAAGCTGTCGTCCAGCCTCAACTACAAGTAACAGAGCTGTTTTGACTCAGCAGGAAACATCTGCAGAGACATGGGAACTTGTAGGATCTCTGGTGAGAAATCTTCTACTTCAAAATGGCCAAAGTTCCACAAAAGGGAGGATTCACTCACCCGGGATTCATATAAAATAGAACATTAATCACTGAGATGTTCAAGCAAGATGTTTTTACCACTTCTATCTTCCCAGCAGCTTGAGTTCATCATGAATGGATGATTTGCTCAGCATATGAAGAAACTCATAACTGTTGAGGTCAGTCTTCACCCCTCAGACTGCTTACATTACATGCAGCACAATGACGTTATGAGATCTCTTTCAAGGGGCTTTTGCATAGCAATAAGTACCACATGACTTCGACACGGCCCACAAACACACTCTTCACATGTGCCTTTATTACCGTCCTTCGGGCCTACGTTGATGTTCTCTGCGGTTTTCCCCCTTTGAGCACGTGTGGAGGTTCATGAGTCCGTCGCTTTGTGGGAGCTGAGCAGCCCTAAAAATGTTACACATGCTGTCTGGGGAAATGTGTTTGAGACAGCTGTGTAACTGTGGTGTCATACCGTTCACACACACACGCACACACTCACGCTCACACACACACACTTCCTCAGCTGGCCAGTTGGCGAGTTGGAATCAGAGCCAGATGTGAAAGAGACCAAATGAAAAACGCAGCTCCGCCCTTCCCCTCTCCGTGGTGGCGATTTGAGAGTTTCCACATCCTTGCAAAGTTGCCGAGACATTTTACTCAAAACCAGCGAATGTGAGGCCCCGCGGGAGGAAACGTAAGGGTCATAACCAGTCATTGGCGTTCATCCTCTGGGGACAGCGAATATGTGTTGAATGTTTATGGCAATCCGTACATCAGCTGGGATTTCAACTAAAAGAGAACAGAACTGTCGGCCTTATCATGGCGCTACAGAGGAAAAGTCAACAGGATTTATACGTTTGTGAGTTGTTGCCTTCAAAAGAGAAACAGAGAGGCTTAAACATAAGTTAATCCATTCAGCCATGAATACTTTTTCATGTCATGAACATCAACCTTTTTGAGAACATCCCCTGGTTTTTCATAAGCCTCTTCACATGCTCATAGATATACCGTGTTAATTTGCTTTTGTTTCATTACCATGCCGGTTATTTTAGTTCATGATATTTGTTACTGACTGAGGGAATTTGGCTCGGCTGTCAGCTTTTCTGCAACTTTAAAAGGTTACAGACAGACATTTTGGAATGAGTTATCTTATGATTCATTAAGTAACAAAGCCTTTCGATGCCTCGTGGCAGTTCGGTCGGTCGGCTCTTCTGGGGAGCCTGAGAGCTCGTGACGAGGAGGAACAACACATGACATTGTTTCCAGAAACTAATTGAACCGGATTGAACCACCTCACTGGTCTGTGAGCCGCCCCGGGGGCCCTGAAATCCAAATTAAAAAAGAAAGGCGTTGGAGTGTGGTGCAAACCCATTGTGAGAGACAGAGCTGGAGCCTCTGGGCTTAGTAGCTGTAGCGGGCCAATCCGACCCAGTGGATCAGCACCATCTAGCATGTTTGGAATCTGTTTAAAGAAGACATTTCACCTGATGAGCACATGACAACAGGGGGGGGGGAGGGGGGTTGCATCGCAGTGGTTCATGGAGAGGGTTCGTGTTCATGTTGTCGAAGGAGGGCGGTTTCCATGGAAAAGCACTGAATGCGAACGCTGCACAGCCTCCTCGGGCCTCCGGAGAGGCCGCCGAGGGGAATATCTTAAAATGATGTTTACACTATGTTAGCAAAAGAAAAAAGCTTTGAAAAACTTCCAATAAGACAGCATCGTGTGTGTGTGTGTGTGTGTGTGTGTGTGTGTCTTACACTGACTTTAAGATATTTCCAAAGTGTGCTTATGGGTGTGTTTCTTGCTCATACTGGCACATCATGTTGCTTACTTAGTTTGCTGAAGTGAAGTCACTGATTTGGCCGATACGCTTTTGGAATTTTAAGCCCCACTTTCTCCTCTTTTTTTTTTTTTTTCTTCAAGCAGTGGACAAAGACAACATTTTCTTCGGTCATTTTCATTTTCATGAACACCATATGTACATTAGCTCTTCAGATTCACGTCATCACTGTGAGGATTACAGTATATCGTAGCACTGCTGATTCCCAGCATATGATTTATCCATCTGTTAATCTGGAATTGATACAGTAAGGAAGCTCAGACCGGATCAAGAGATAAGCTGGATGCTCCAGTTGTTCTACGTGGGATTTTAACAGTGCGATAATTTCTGCTGCGGCCTGGAATTACAAACAGCAATGTGAATCCATTCACATTAACAACTTATCCGTTAACATCCCGCATCGCGTCGAGCGCATTGGAGATGGAGCGCTGTAGGTGATGGAGGGGGGAGGGGAAGAACAAAGGAATCAGAGGAGACGGTGGGGAAACGTGGCGCCTCAGAGCAGAATGGAGCCCGGCTTATAGATCCACAGATGGTCGCCTCTCATCGCTCCCTTTGCATTTCACATATTCTGCTGAGACGCAGCAAAGCATCTTTTAAACGAAAGGAAAAAAAAGCAGGCAAGGATGGGAGGGCGGATGGGAGGGAGGCGAGTGGGAGGCGGGGGAGAGGCAGCAGAGAGTGGGGGGAGGAGGCAGCGCTGATGCGTCCGCTGCCGCTGTCACTCCGCTGCTGCGCGGCTCGGCGGCAGGGAGGGTGCGCTGGAGGGAGGAGTGTGGAGAAGGAAAAAAAATTCGGAGGAAAGCAGGACGGAAGGGAAGGAGAGAAAGGGAGTGCCTGGGAAGCACTGCAACAGCTGCAACTGCAGCAGCCCGTTGAGGAGGAGTAAGAGGGAGAGAAGGAGAGAAGGAGACGGAGTGAAGGAAGGGGAACGCTGCAGGATTTTATATTAATGATTTTGCATGAGGAGAAAGGTTTGATACGGGAGCCTGTTTTCTCCCTCGCTGATGCTTTTCTACGCGGCCTCATGCAGGAGGCATGCTGGGAAATAGTGCGAAAGGCAGAGAAGGAGATTTGAGGATGGAAAGGACGGATAGCACAAAGGCATACGGCCAAGCAGATGGCAAAGGAGTTGGTATGGCGGCGAAGAGGGCAAAGCCCGGTGTCCCCCAGGGCACACCGAGGGGTGAACTGAAGGTTTACCGGGCGGGCAGCTCCGATGGCAGGCTGCCGGTCTCCTCCAATCTCCGCAAGCAGAGGTCCATGACAAACCTGGCTGTGCTCACCGACGCTGAGAAGAAGTTGCACCTCTACGAGCCCAAGTGGTGTGATGACATGGCCAGGCCCGGGGCAGGGCAGACCAAGACGGGCAAGCCAAAGGCGGCCGGGGTCGGCAGCAGCGCCGGAGGGGGTGCCGCTCTTTCTCGAAACCTGTCCAAGTCGGAGCACTCGCTGTTCCAGGGCAAACCCAAGCCCTTCAGCCCCCTGGCTGCTCCATCTGCTCTGAGCAAGCAGAGCCGCATACCTCGTGCTCCTTACGCCGAGGTGAAGCCCCTGAGCAAGGCGCCCGAGGACGGGAAGTCCGATGACGAGATCCTCTCCAGCAAGGCCAAGGCCAACGCCAAGAAGCAGGGAGCCGGGGCCGGGGGGGAGTCCGGCTCCAAAGGCCAAGGGGAGGAAGGGGGAGACAAGCCCTTCCTGAAGGTGGACCCAGAACTGGTGGTGACTGTGCTGGGCGACCTGGAGCAGCTGCTCTTCAGCCAGATGTTGGGTGAGTAGAGCGGTCCTGATACCTGGGCCCCCCCCCCCCGGCGCGCTACGGTACGCCGCGGCGGCCATGTGCTACAAACCAAACGCCCCTCTTGTAAGATTTGTCAGTGCTTTCTCCGCAGCACGCCCCCCTTCAATACAGCCGGCGCGCGGCACCTGCTGGCTGGCTCGCTCCCGGAGACCCGCACACCCCCCCCCCGAACGGATTTAACGCAGCTCAGCGGCTGAGGAAAAAAAAAAAAAGATTAGAGATCCTTGTGGTGCTCGCAAAGCATGCTACGCTTCTTACCATTTCATTGAATGCTGCATTGGTTTTGCTCTGCTACCATTCAGCTCTATGTAAAAAAAACCCACCAGAGCCATAGCGATGCTCTATTGTTCTTATGCCTGTAGCGTGTCACGTAGGTGGCTGAGGCCACTGATTGTTTGAAATGTTCCTATCGTAACGTTGCCGTTTGCTGATTGGGTGAAAGAAGCCTGAAGGGTTTGGAGGATTATTAAGAGCAAACTGATCTCCTTTTACTAAAGCTCTGGTTTTCGCTGCAACACGTGCCGCTGCACTCCAGGGTTCATCCGCTCCTCCACGTACGCTTCCCGTGAGAAGAGCCATGTTGAATTCATTTCAGGCACAGCTCCATTCATCTGTAGAGCGCTGACGGACGATTTTCACGGCTTGCACCGCCGAGAAAATGTCTCTCTCTCTCTCTCTCTCTCTCCAGATGTATCAGGAGGCAGAGCTTGATGAATATTAATAAGGTATAGATCATGTTAAGGCCATTCTGATGACTTTCATTTTTCATTTTTTCTTTGTGTCTCAAAGCTGGCCTCTTTGTTTAGCTAAAGGTATTGTATGTATCGAATTATGATGTGAGTCAATTTGAGGTTTTAGTTTTCCCTGCAAGGTTATTTGACTTCTTAAATTTAATCTATTTTACACTTTAGCTGAGATCTGTTGTAGTGACTATTGGGTGGAAAGATTAAACAAACATTACTCTCCTTAATGCATAAAACCAAATTTTTTATTTCAATGATTTTGTTTCTCGTGACACTTTCGGTAGCAGATTCTCCAATTTATCCAACAGGAAGATTAGAGCACCAGAGCTTTGCATTAATTCTTAGTCCTACAATCCTATCAGTGACTAATCTGGTTCAAGCATGTCATACACAAACAACCACCTCGTGTTCTATTTAATTATTTGCGATTCTATCTCTCCTGTATCATCAGCAGAGCATTTACTCAGGTGCATCTTAATAAACACGTGTGTGGTGATTTAATCTGTTATCCACGCCTCATTACCCAATGTGGACGTCTATCGCTCGTCTTAGTCAGCTACCAACTGTAAGCAGTAAACAAGAACGGCAGCATCACTGGTGTTTGGGTGTGAAACCAGAACCAGAACATCTCTAAAAGCTCTACACAATGCGGCATGCTTTATTAACCTATTTACATCACGTTTGTATTCGAATGCCTCCAGCCAAAGTAGTTCTCCTCCTCATTGTCCCACCTTGACCTCCGGATCTGATGAGCAATTCAAAGTCATTAGTCCACAAAAAGAGGTATTTATTATCTAAATGAATTATTTATCATCATTTAAGAAGATAATCCCAATGACAACAATCAAGTGCTTTTGTGCTGATGGAAAGCTGCCATAATGGAAGCACAACATGCAACATACAACACACAACGCTGATTTTTGACTTAAATTGATCGGCAAGATGAAGAAAATGTAATTAATTTGAATTATGTGTTCATTCGTATTTGTTGAGCTCTGCTCTCTGCATAGTGGACTGGAACTTTTTCCCCTCGCCTGACGGCATATTTACAGCCTTGTTACTATAAATAGAGCTATTTATTCATTGTCCACTATGCATTTGAGGCCAGCTCAATGAAATCCTCTGTATCTGCATTATATCTCATTATAGGACAGCTGAAAGGATGCTTTTATTTATGACCACAGAAGGTCTCTTTGTTTACCAACATGGCATCACAAACTTAGGTAACAGGCTAATCTATTGAACTATTATACTAGTTGATTCAGTAGTGGAACATCGTCTTCATCACAGGACGAGCCTGCAGATAACACTGCACAATACGAAACTTGTGCTTTTCATGCTTTTATTTTGTGGTTGGATAATCTCATTAAAGACTTGCAACCTCTGTTCCACGGAAATCTTCTTCCTCTTCCAGCGGAGCGATTGTCTGCTGTAATAAATGGAAACAGACTAGCCTCTAATTTGAAGAGATCCGAGGTCATTAGAACCATAGATGAAAACCTGGAGGTGAGCGTAGAAAAAGACAGCCGGACTTCTGGAAAAAGATTCAATCCATTGTGATTTTATGTGATCTGACGTGCAAGATCTCAAACCAATGGCCCAGAGCTCGTAGTGGTAGAAGAATATAATGGATCGTAATATTCCAAGCTATGTGGGCATGTAAGAGTCATGATGTTTTGGCTTTTAAAGAGACAGTAAGATCCCCTTGTTGAAGTAATGACTGACTGTTTCATGACCAAAAGTCACTAATCTGCATGAGTTGAACATTCATGACATCACTGTGTGTTACCTGTTTTCCCCCCATCTGTATTCACTCGCAGCATCACCTGCATTGTTAGAAAGCTCGAGGTTTGTCGAGTGCCTCAGCTTTCATGTGAACTCTGTTCCGATGACACAAGCTCTTAAAATGAACCGTGGAGGCTCATAAAGACTCCACTCACTAATTGGCTTGTTTGTTCATGGAAATTTTTAATTAAAAGTTTCAACCATGTGGGACCAATATTATTGGTTATTTTTAGCAGTGTTTGTTTTTTAAGGTCAATAATCTTTTAACAAAACATTAGCATCAATTGTGCCGTACGTTAAGCTGTGTTCATGTCGATCACACCCTGTGACATCATTGACAAGTCTTTCCCAATTTACATCTGCTTCAGTTTTTCTGCTCGGTACCGGAGGCTCCAACGAGGGCGCCCCCTCTTCCTCCATTAGTCGACCGGTCGGTTCCTTGGTCTTAGTCAACTAAGATCTTGTGAGTTCATTCATTTTTTTAATGCTTTTTCCTGAGGGAATAACTTCACTCCAAGAAACACGAGCCCTTCTGTGGTAAAAAGATTGACAGTGGTGCTTTTGTTCTCATTCCTTATTGGAAGTTATTCATACAGATCTGTTGATTAAATCAATCATCTCAGTGTTGGTCATCTAAGAATGTCATCGGTTGAGGCTGGACCTGCAAACAACCGATTTGATACACATCTCTGAACCCAGGATGCAGGTTTGAATATATATTCCGGGGAGTTGAAGATGAATAAGTTAGCAGTGTGCCAGAATTAGAATGTGGCTAGTGTCGCGTTTTGTGGATGTGCTGTGACTAAATGATTTATTCCTAAAAAGTTAAGGACTTTCAAGGAGTACGTGGAAATAAGTCCTCAATAAGTCCTTGGCATTTTTTGATGCCAAGGACTTATTTTCAGAAGAAGCTTGCTTCTAGCTAAGCATACCCGGGGTCAACCCTTCTAGAAATTACATTTACTTAAATACGTTTTGAGGGAAACGTTCATTACTTTGGAGTAACATAATCAGAATTTTTTTTAACATATCTATCCTGTCCGGTTGGGGGCCCTTTAATGTTCATATATCATTATAGGTTTTTTACTGTTTGAGTACATGAAGTTCATGTATTTGGACACTATTTAAATCGACTAATATGAACACGCCTTCAGCCTAATAACACAGTGCTGGTTTGCAAGAGGGAAGTTAGCAAATCCTGTGTATGCATGCAGGGCATGTAATTGTTTCCATGTGATATTGATGCTCTTTATACACGGTGCGAATGACCTCCTCATATGAAAACAGCCCATTATTTGAAATCTGTTCCCCTGACATCTTCCCATTTCCTCCCCCCCCCACATTCAAGCGGAAATCCCCACCTCATTTTGTTTCTAAAACTTGGGTGGTTTCCCTCATTTGTTACCGCCGACACAACAACATAATTGTAGTGTAATACTGATGTGACACGGTCACGGCACGCTGACTCCGCGCTTTACGTTTGCACGCAGCTCCATCCAAAGCATCTGACCTGCAGCGCAATCCGTCCGGCTGCAGTTCAGCTCCTTGTTCAGCCCAATGACTCTGGAGTCAACGCCCGATGGAGGCTGAGGAGGCTGAGGAGGGAAAGAAAAAAATAGATCCTGCAGTGGCATGAATGTCAGAACCCACCCGGGTGGGCGATTCAAGTCGGAGGCCCCGTTTTTCCGTATTTCCCTTTCCGGGATGTACCACCTCGGTGCAGAGGGGAGGGATGGAGCGGATGTTACCATGGCGAGGGAGCCCATGGAGGGACATTTGTCTGCTTAACGATGTGAACATACGCTGGCTGTGTGCTTACAAAGGAGACGCCCGTCCCATCGGTCCGGACACAAGTCATGGAGAACCCATGCCTGCGTATGTGTGCGTTTGTGTGTGTGTGTGTGTGTGTGTGTCTGTGTGGGGGGTCAGTTTGAATCCATGAATTCTCTTAAAACACAAAGCACAAACCACCGCAAAATGCCAGCTGGTGTCTTGAGTTTTATCTTGACACTAAATGTTTTATGACCTTTTTGTTCTGCATGACTGACCCACAGACCCTGAGTCCCAGAGGAAGCGCACCGTGCAGAATGTCCTTGACCTCCGCCAGAATTTGGAGGATACAATGTCCAGTCTGCGAGGCTCTCAGCTCAGTCATAGGTGAGTGCCCTCCATCGGCATTTGGGGGATTTTAAAATTGTCTCTTAAATGCCGTTTGCCACGTCACGTGACTAAAATCACACACCAACCAATGATGGCCGTGCATGTTTTCTTTGAACTGAAAAAAGAGCTAGTTGGATAAATACATGGCACAATAAAGTGTAAGCAGTTGCCACCTGGTGCACATCTGGGTTCCATCCTTCCTAAATAGCCCATCTGTTTCATGCTCATGACTTCCTTCTAGGAAGTCTCTCTGTTGGCTCTCTTCTGCAAAAGGCCCAGGCATTAGACTGAGGCAACAACCACAGCACATGGCACATGTGGAGGACAGGTCCCGTCACTTTCATATGTACGATTGAACCGCGATGTTTTAATATCCTGGGTAGCATGAATGCAACATTCTGCTTTTATCACTTTGAACCTCCACATTTTTTTTACATGAATACAGAATCAATTTTCTGTGCAATTTGAAGAGTCACTCATTCCCACTCATTTCCCTGTAAAGTGTATCCAAATTCTGCAGCTGTATAAAGCTCTTTTTTAACTGTTGTAGCTTGAATTGGTGGACCAGCGCTGCTTATTAACCCGTTCCGGAATTAGGCATTAAACGCTGTGCGTATGCAGATATTTTGGCATCAGCAAAAATGTTGACCTATTATTAGTAATTGCCATTGGATGCTTGGGTTTTTTTCAGCATTATATTGATGTGATAAAATCATCTTCAATCATTCGGATGTCTTTTACAATGGGAATAAATATGAACCCTGCATGGGGTTCAGCACTGCAGTTGCACCAGCTTGCATCCATATGGATGAATTATCCATCAACAATGGATAAAAATACTCGTCGTAGCCATTGCAATATTTATTTGGGTGAGCTGTAGTTATGTAATCGGCAGACACAGAAGAAGCTCCCGGGCGATCAGGAGGACATTTCCATACCCGCCCCACTTACAGGAGTGAAATGCTCAGGATAATGGAGGAAGAAGTGGCTTTAGATAGGACACAGTCGTGCAAAGAAAGATCTTGCGTGAATGTGTTGTTCAAAGAGACAGAGACAGATAGTCTTTGCCATGTTAACACAAGGGGGCGTCCATTTATTCGTCTTTGGGTTCAAAGAGGCCACGTTTTTAGTTTTAGTCCCCTGAAGACCATGCGACACGACTGCTCTATCTGGGGCATCGGGAACTCAATGTCGCTGTGGGTTTCTCTGAAGGAATGAGAGGAAAGAACATTTTCCCCCTCGGATGATTTCTGTCGTTTCTGGACAACGGCGTCTGAATATAACCCGCGCTGCCCCTTCCCCTGTCGTCCTTCAGCTGCGTGGACAGCAGCAACGTGGGCTACGACAGCGACGACACCAACGCCCGCAGCGTGTCCAGCCTGTCCAACCGCTCCTCGCCGCTGTCCTGGCGCCACGGCCAGTCCAGCCCTCGGCTCCAGGCGGGCGACGCCCCGTCCTCCACGGGCGCCGGCTACAAGGGGAGCAAGGCCGCAGGGTCGCAGTACGCGGCCCAAACGATGCCGGCCCGCTGCTCCGGCCGCCTCAGCAGCACGTCTCGCATCGAGCTCATCGAAGGGCTGGACGACGGCGACCTCAAGTCCGGTTACCTGAGCGACAGCGACCTTCTCGGGAAGAGCCTGCCGGAAGACGACGACGACAACCTGGCCAACGGGTAAGAGCACGCGAGGACGGGGTTGTTACGCCCCCTGTTGCCATAGCAACGCTGCACGCTGGTTTGTCCCTTCGGCCTTCACCTTGTGACTTTTAAAAGGTCAGCTCGGCTTTGTTGTCACGTTTCCTTTTACTCACAATGGGCCATAAGCTGATTGTTGCCCTGCTGCGAATGCTCATGGTTGCATTCTGAGTTTGAGTATTTTAATTAGGCGGCATTTTAACATGCAACAGTGGTTTCGTGGATACTAACACCGCGGCTTTCTGCTTGTCTTGTTATCTGATGCTTTGCACTATCAAAGAGCTTTCATCAGCTGTCTCCAGCGATAACGCTTCTCTTATGTTTCTTCTTGCCCTTGAAGCTTTTCTCACAGTGCCCACGAGCTGTGTTTTGCTGACAGTGAGAGAAGGCCGTCAGAAGTTTTTCACGGAGGGAAGATCTTGAACTCCTGGGGTGTCCTCGCAATTACACAATGAGCGCTCCCTCTTCTCATGCAAAGAAACTACTCGGCGTCTGAATCTGAAAGAGATGTGTTTAAAAAAAAAGTTGAAAAAGCAACAATCCGCTTTGTTTTGATCAACTTGTTTTTTCTTAACAGGATTTTTTCCTCCTAGTTACAGTTGCTCTTCTTCGCAAGTCTTCTTCATGCTCTACATACTATTTCTTCTTCTTTTTTGCCTTCCTGTCTTTTCTTTTTCTTCTTGAAGCTCTTATTCTTCTTCATCTCTCTCTTCACACTATTCTTTATCTCCCTCTTCTTCTTCTTTTTTACTTTGCCTTATTCAAGTTGTTCTTCTTCCTCCTCTGGTTTTCTTTCTTCTTCTCCTAGCTTTTCTCATCCCACATCCCTCGTGTCTGTATCTACTTCCCTCTCCCGAGATGACAGCTGACAGTGAGAGAAAGAATCCAGGGCAGATCTCCAGTGTGGTTTAGCATCTTTATCGCTTTTGCACATGCAGTGGGATTTAAACTCAGCCCCTGTGGCCGCTCACTTGTCTCTGCTGGCCAGGTCACGTTCTTACTACAGTATGGACGAGAAAAGAAATGAGACTCATTTGGATGAGTAAAGAATTGGAGCAACGAAGAAGAAAAGTGTGAAATGGGTCATTTGAACTTTTGCCAAAAAACCCGAGGAGTTCGCAGCGACCAGGAAGGATGAAAGAAAGAAGCATTGGATTCAATAAACATAGACCACTGTCACTATTTGTTAAGGTTTAGGATTTATTTTGAGGCAGGTGAAAAAGGATCAGACATGAGAAACCCGATGAGGTTGGGATTAATCTGGGATTAGGTCATGCGGGTCCATTCCTCACAGTAACATTCCTACACACAAAATCCATTTAAATCTGCCCTGTATTTCGTCCCTCGCGGCATGAGCTCTAGAGTGCAGCTTCAAAATGATGTGAGAGGTGAGCGTTGCAGCACCGCAGGCACCAAATGATGCTAATCATTTCATGTAACCTTCTTTTTAAAAGTGCATCGTCTTGATCAGCGTTCGGCCTCGAGAGTACAACAGTCCATAAACATGCTTTCTAGGAGACGATAGACCAAGAGGATTGTGGGTGTTTGGATACATCCATGGTAATAGTTATTACAGGCTATTGAAGCTGCCAAAACACAACAATACATGGAAACAGTGGGAGGCTGTTTTCTCTCTGACCTTGAGGAGGTTGCATGCTTATATTTGGAATATACAACACGGTGGAAACCCTCTGATTTGCATGCTTTGGTGGTCCGTGTTTGCATTGGTTTTTATTGGAAAAGATCCTTAATTCTCCTGCCAGAGTAGAGGAGAGCTGTTCTCAATATCAAGAATTAATCCTCCCCCATGACTATAGCAACAACCTGTTGGTGCAGATAACTAGTTGATCCGCTTTTTGAAGCAGGCACTTGCTCTAATTTCTTTCCTCCCGGTTTCAAATTCTGTGTCACATTTGCATCTCTACTGTACATCCCTTCTCACACTCACACTGCAGATCATTGAGGACCATTAGCTGCAAGCTCTTGAAGGGCTCCTCCTACGTAACCATGGAAACAGCTGGTAATCGACTGTATGGTGAAGTGGAATTTCTCTCCTCCTTCGCTTCCGTTCTATTGTCCTAGTTCTCCATGATTGTGCATTTCCCTGATCTGAAAAAAAGCATTAAATATAATTAACTTAATCTACTAGCTCTACTGCTAGAGTGAGACTTCTCGACAATAAATAATGATGTTGTGGTCTTCAACGCGTGCCGCTTGTATGGACGTGTAAACCCTGTGGAAAGAGACATCTACTGGTGAAACAATAAGACGTGCAGGTTGTTTGGATGCAACAGCAGCACAATGCTCGACGTCTAATGGATATTGATTAAGCCACTGCAGACAGCGCTGGTTAAAGCTGTATTTGTAGACCCTGACAGTAATCACTGCTACAGTGTGTCTGCCTCGTCAATAATAGGATGCAACATGCATCTCCACGTCCTCGAGAGCTCCATCCTTCCATCAGAGCCTCTTCTCTGCAACAACACACTGCTGCATGACAATCCGCTTTGGCTCACTTAAAGAAAAAAGGATTTAACATATAAGCAAATATTAACTAAAGACCTATTGGCCAAGTTTCACCATCACCGAAAGGATATCACCATATTGCAAGCCGCATTTTAAAAAATGTTTTATAAGTAGTAAAAGTAACTAGATCACATTGCGTGTTTTTTTCCTATATTTGGTTTTTAAATTATGACCAGTATTCAACATCTTTTATGGTTTATGTATTAAAGGCACTGTAGAACATACAAGCGCAGGTTAGTTATCCATGTTCAATGCAGATGTTAACTGGGAAAACATGGCATGTTTTTTCCATAGTGTCATTTAGTGGAGCCTAATATTTGTACCAGAACATGTGAATTCCCCAAGAGGCCCATCACCCTGAACATGAGGATTGTATCTGACAGATTTACTTCGGATTAGCGGATGGAAAACCCTTGTATTGGAAGATATCATATAATATCTGTCTACATTATAGGTTTGGCTCTAACTCGTTGGCTGACTGAGGAGAGAAGCAATGAGAAGCACTCACAGCGCTTGACTTCCTTCCTCGTGTCATAGCTTCAGTGCTAATCGTGGTGCGCTCAGATGAATTTTAATAGAATTTTTTTATTCATCAGGTAGGTGTTTAAGATTTCGTGGCCTCACACAGCAAGTCACAGATTCCACATCACCGATGGATAAACAGTGGATTACACATTGCGGATGAAGACGTGGTGCAGGGGAACCAAATATATCTTTTCCTGCTACAAGGTCAAAGCAGATTTCTATTTGTTTGAGGGCAAGCATTTGGGCATCTCGGGACCGTGCCTCTGCACAGCAGCATGCATGTGCAGAGCAGAGAAGGGAGGCCGCTTCAGCAGCATCACACCTCTGATCATGCGGCACCGAGGCTCGGGATCTGCTGCCATGGCAACCGTCTTCCAATGACCGTCTGATGGACTGCCTAGTGTGTCAGTGTGATAGCTGCTGAATGGATGTACGTGTGGGGGAGTGTGTATGTTGACTGCCAACGGAGGGAGTTGGGTGTGAAGGCAGCACGCTAACCACTTAATTCGATTATTTTACAATTGCCACTGTGGGGAGAGCTGTGTGTCTCCGTGGATATTAGTTGTGTTTCCGTTTGTGTTGTTTCCACTAGCCTTTGGTTTCACTCTAGCAGTTTTTCCAGGAATCTACTGTGTGATGGACCAGAAAAGAACAAACCTCTTAAAGTCCATTAAAGTAAAAGCTGTGCGATGGAAGGTTTCCGACCAGAGTGACATAGTTTTACCCCTCGAAAGCACTGAATGCATTGCATTGCCATCTTTGCCTCCACTACTGTATTTTGCAGATGAGCCAGGCCCTCGGCTTAGTTTGCTCCTCTGGCAATGTCATTCCCATGGTAACCATAATAAAGCCCTGCCCATGCAAGTCAGTGTATCTGCCTCGGCGGTCGGCATGCACAGTACGAAAGTGAGTATTTGTAGTTTGACAGCATCACTCGTGGAATTGACGAGCACATCCTGTAATGCACAAAGGGTTTGTTGTAGTCGTCTGATACCGGATCTGTGCCGCTGGCCGTCTGCTGTCAATTTCCCTTTCCTGCCCGCCCGGGTTAGACCTTCCCATGGGCACAGAGAGCTCGCCGAACACGTTTTCCGACTTAAACCCATCTGCCTGAGAATGGCGTTTTGGCCTCTCTGCTGGAGGTCTCTGCAGGCGCTACTGGGATACAGTTTAGTGAGGCCTCCACTTGGGGTCAGTCCTTCACGGGCTGTTGCTCTGCAAGAAGGGATGTTGTTTTGTCACCTCTGAAGACTATACACACACACACACACACACACATACACACACAGATCAAGTTTTGCATTTGGACATGTTTAAGCCGATTTGTTATTCGAGGGAAGAGCCGTAATGAAAGGCTCCGTCTCTTTTACTGCCACCCAGACTGCACCATCCGGCCCCAGTCAACAGCTCAGACACATCTGGGGTCAATGTGGAACTCTCATTTTTCCACCAAAGGGTCAATGAAATATTGCATCTGGAAGGCCCCTCCTGACCCCAGACCCGCCTCATCTAACATCCTCCCCCACGTGAATAATGGAGCATTACAGCAGCACCCCAGGGAGTATGAATCAGCCCAGTATCATGTCTGCGTGTGGTCGTCTGCGTGTGCAGTTTGGATTCCACCAGCGCATAACACTCAGCCCCCAAGGTGGAAAATATGATACTGTCTGGCTCAATGTTTTTATATATATATATATAAATGTCTGTATCGGAATCATGTGGAACATGTTATTCCGTCATTCTGCCTTAATTTGATAGGTTTGTTTGAAGTCAGTACAAAGATGTCAGATTATCTGCTTTAAGTCTAGCTAATGAAGTCTGGTGGGTCCAGATTAATGATTAATGTTCGTTAAGGTATTCGGATATGCTTGTGGACCGACTCTGCACCAATCCCACTGTTGAAGTTCAGTGTTTGAGTATCCATTTTG